GCATCCAGACGACAGGGATGGCTTGCAAATGAGTCATACAGGCTCAGATCCGCGGTAGCTATGTGAGCGCGGGACAATCAATTATTCATGTGTTTACAAAGAGCTTTCCCGCTTGATGTTAACCAGAGCTGCTTGCAAAGAAGAGCTCTCCAGCTGTCCTCAGCCATCCCGGGCCTCCAACTAACAAGCTGCTTTAATTGCTGGGCAAGTCATCTGGAAGGTGCCCCTCCCCTAGACCAAGTAAACACCATCCCTTCGAAACTTCATTAGGCATAAAAATGTTAATCGGTAATAATTATGACAATACTTTATTTACAATACTCCCAGCAAATCCCAAAGAGAGAGAGAGAAGTTAGCCTTGACTTACATCCCACAGGGCTGCCCCAGGACTGGAGTCTGGACTATTGGAGATACAGGTCAGGGTTGGTAGATGGCATAGAGCAGGAAATGAAGGGAAGGAATCAGAGGCTGTGGGCTTCAAGAGGGAGGTAGTAGGAAGAGCCGTCTGGAATGTTCTGTGACGGGAAAGGAGCACGACGGAGGACCACCAAGAGTAGGTAGATTAGGTTGGTCAACAGCCAAACATGAGTGAGCTTGACGCACCCATCAAAATCAGCCTTGGGAGAAGTTAGATGAGAAGATACTTCTCAGCCCCTGTTTTTACTACAGCCTGTCCAGGAAGACTAATAATAGGATTAGGGCAACTCCTCTTCCTGAGCTAGGCCGAAGAGGACAGGACCAGATGGCCCCACAGTCCCCTATCAACTGTGTTTTAAGGGAGAACAGAATCATAGTCAAAGCTGTTGCAGGGGCCTCTCCCTCCGAAGACAGTGCAGTCAAAGCAAAGGGATACCTCTGGTGTCCTTCTATTATCCCAATTCCAAGAGCCTTTGTTGAATCCTTCAACCAGATTCTTCCCCTTGCTTGACACTGGGCAACTTCAGACCCTATCGTAACTTACTTGTCCACTTCTAAGAAAGTGGTAAAAGCAAACAGTGTTCTTGTGGATAGAAGATCATGGGATAAAGTGAGAATTTAAGTATGGCCAGGGGCAATAGGATCCCTGGGGTAGCTCTTCTTGATACAGTGGGAGGCAGCTCTAGGTAACAAGATGTGAGGAAAGGTAAAGCTAGCAGGTGGGAAGACAGTGCCCCTCCCTGGTGCATCAAGCATCTTGGAGAACTTGCGTGGTATTGTTGTAATGCCAAGACTAGACTCTGTGTTCACCCCCTCAACCCTTATCCACCCACTCCATCCATGAATGCAGATTTGGAAAATGAGTCCAGAGAAAAGGAATGCATCTCCCCAAGGCCCGTATTAGGAGAGCTGGTCTAAGGTGTTCTCTCCATACCTCCTTTAACCTTTTATGCCTCAGTCCGGGGACAAGGGAGAAGATAAGAGGAAGCATCCCACAAGAGGCCTCCTTCATGTGACTGGGGGCTCTTCTAACTTCCTCAGCCTTCTCATGAGTGCACAACTCCCGCTCATCGTGATTCCTTGCTCCTGACTGGTGCTCCCTCCGGAGAGCTGGAGGTCAGAACGGGTTTCTCAGGAGGGGGTCAGTTAGGAGTTAGGAGGAGGATTGGAGGAGACAGAATTCTTTGATGCAGGTCCCAAGACTCCAGTGAGTTGCTAGGCCTTTGAAGAAATCCTAAAGGAGGCATGCAGGATTTCCCAGAGTTATTGGTCCATGGAATTCTTTCATATGAGCATCCCTCCAGGCAAAGTTCCAGAATTTCATGGGCCAACCAAACCTAAGGAAGTGTAGTGTTAGGGTACAGCCCCAATGCCCTGGTTAGAGCTCCAATTTGTCACACTATCAGAGTTCTGGGGACACAAGCTAGGAGCTCCAGCCTGCCATCACTGCTGGGGACAGCCTCACAGATAGTTTCCCAAAGTCACAAGCTGGCCTGTTCTACCAAAGGGGTAGCCCCCAACACGCACACCTCCTCCCACACCTCCAAGGGCAGAAAGACAGGAGGAGGATCTCTCATTGTCAGACAACTGCCTGGTTTCTATCAGGCCGAACCTGATTCTTTTCTGCCCTTGTGTGGATAAGTCTCTGCTCTCTCTCCTGGTTGTGAAGCTCTGACTTTATCTCTGGAACAGCCATGAAAGTGAGCCTTCGAGCTGTCTGCCCAGTGGAGCCTTCCCCACCTCTTTGTTTCAGGATCTCCAGCTCTGGGCTGGTAACCTTCTGCTGTGACCACAGCACAAAGTCACCACCCAGAATGAAACATGACCCCCACCAAGAGTGGCCATTTCGGCCTGACCTCGAATGTCCATCACCCACAGCTGTTAAGATCTTTCTGAGGGTCTGTGATCGTCTATATTCCCGGTCCGCTATTTCAAGTGGAAACTGTGTGCAAATGTTCAGAATCCAAAATAAACGAGACATCAGCCCAGCCTTTGGCATGAACCAACTCATTAAATATAAAATAAACACAAGTAAATGGCTTTTAAATCTCCCTGACAGAAAGCTTGGCAACTACCCGGAGATTTTGGGGGTCATTGGAACTTCTCTCTCCAGACGGGAATCTTCCTCACACTCTGAGGGGCAGAAGGGGACTCCCGACAAATGATGGTATCCCGGTACCCCTGCCTCCCAATTTGAGACACGCTCTGTACTGCAGACAAGGACAGGGTCTGCGAGAAGGATGGCCTGTGACACAGAACAGGTCACTGGGGAATCGGACATTACTATTTACAAAGGGTTAGGAATTCAGGTTGAAGGCATTCAGCTTGCCGCCAACGACAAATCTCCAGGAACTGCCACCAAACCAACCCTGAGTTTCTCACTGCTGTCTCTCTCTCGGTTGCCCTGAGTTCATACTCACCTAGTTTCTTAAATCCTGTGTGCGTTCTGCCACGGGGTCCCAAGGTCCCCTTGGGAATGTGACTTGCTGAACTCTGATTTTTGCCTCTCTCTGTAGTTTCAGCATAAAGTGGATTTATCGGGGAAGGTGATGGGCCAGATGACCTGATGGATTGTTTTCATTCTCCACATCACGCCAAGTGTGCAAAACACAAACTGCAAGAATTCACCAACCAGAAAACATAGGCACATGCACCTGTTTGCTTCTAATGTTACCTCAGAACTAGGCTAGATTCCAATGATTACTAACGTCTTTTATAAAACCGATGTGGAAAATGCACAGCTTTTGGTAAAAAGCATGTTCCCTTGACAGCCCGTCAAAGATGAGTGTTCACCTGGGGAAGCTTCGTGTGAGCAGGTCCGTTTGTAAGAGACCCAGGTCTGGTCAGGTGGCAGAATTATTGGCTTTTCCCATTCACATCAGTCAGCTTCAGAGTCTGATTTCTGTGCCAAGAAGTTAGTAAGATCCGAAACTAGTCAAAGTAGCTTCCATTTACTTACAGTTTGGGAACATTTTTTCATGATTTGGTCAGCTCCTAAGGACAAAATGCCAGTGAAAGAAATGGTTCACCAACTTAGAGTTAAATCATTGGATCAGTAGAAAGATTAGATTTTTTTTTTTGGTTTTTTTTGTTTTAAGATTTTATTTATTTATTTGACACACAGAGAGAGATCACAAGTAGGTAGAGAGGCAGGCAGACAGAGAGGGGGAAGCAGGCTCCCTGCTGACCAGAGAGCCCAATACGGGACTCGATCCCAGGACCCTGAGATCATGACCTAAGCCAAAGGCAGAGGCTTAACCCACTGAGCCACCCAGGCATCCTAGATGTTGTTTTTTTAATGAACTAGAACATGCTTTCTTTTTCTCCTTTGAAAAGTTTCAGTGGTTTATTTAAAATCACAAAATCACATTTCTTCTCATCCATGGCCTCCAGAACTTTCTCACCTTGAATTTGAGGATGTGTAGCTGGTCATGAGCTAAGGTGGCGTACCAGTCATGAGTTGATGGGACAAGCAAGGATCCCGGAGGGCTTTGTGACAGCACAGCCATCCTCCTGAGAGCTTTTAAGAAATCAAATATTTAAAGCTGAGAAGGAGAGAACACCTGGAGGGTACCCCCACTTCCTTTAAAAAAAAAAAAAAAAGTTCAGAGATGGAAAATTAAAACCCATCCACGGGTATTTTTTCAATGTTTTCCACAGCATGGGCTGAGCTACCATTCACCACCACTAGGTGGCATCCTCTCCTGGCCCCTTCTTTTGGCTCTTTTGCTAATAGGTGACACCATCATTTCCCTGGACAACATTAAACAGCCTCTCGGACAACATCCAACTAGGGGTCTCTAGTTTGATGTTGTGCTCTAGTGCTACTGTCTACTCTCCTATGTTGGGAAAGCTTTGGGATTACTAATGAGATGTATTTGATATTTTGTTGCAAGGCGAGGAAGTTTTTGTCTTGCTTTTCACATGTTCCGTATCAGAGTCTGACAGCAATGCTGCTCTGAGCTGACTTCCTACCCTGACATGCCTGTTGTTCTCCAGCCCAGAGACACCCCATGCTACGAAGGATCTATCAAACCTGTGCAGACATTGTCTGAGGAGCAAGGTCCTAGATGACCCATGGAAAATTAACATCTTGATTGTTTCCCAAAGGTCAGGCTCTTTCTGCCTTCTCAAAAGCTAGTCTAGGGCTTGAGGAGAAAAGCGATGTGACCCTCCAGCCTTATCTGGGGAGCTAGTCTGTGTCCATCGCATTTTTCCAGAACATTCCCCTCACCTGCCCACTCTTCCTCTTGCTCTTCTCTTCTCTTTCTCTATGGACCAGTAATGAGATGATGGAGGTTAGCCCTCTGGATAGATAAATGGAAAAGGAGGAGCACAGATCCCACAGTCACCGTTACAAAAGGGGTTTTCAGAATTTTCTCGTCATTTAAGCGACTTACTGAAGTCCTCTTAAGTTATCATGACTGCATTTCTTTGCTTTACACAAAGGCACTGGGTGGGGGGCACTGAGGCACCAGGAAGTCCAAAAGACAAAATGCTTGGAAGTCACAGATCTAAAGAAAATGCTGAGGCGTCAGTTCCAGAACTAGGCCTCCGGTGTTGGCAATTTTTGAGTGCATTTTTTCAAAGGTAGCTGACATTCCAGAACATGATTCCTACTCCTGGGCCAACAGGTACACAGGGTCTCCCACTTTGATGGTCCCTTTGTTTTCCAGAACAAAAAACTGCCCGAAGAGAGGTGATTTTCCATACAGCTTCTGCTCAGAAGGGTCACAGAGACGATAGCTGCAGTAGGAGAAAGATCGCCATGAGTCACAGCCCAACAGACAGGAGCAAGAGCTCAAACAGCCAGGATTCCTTCCCGGCTAAGGTAACTGTCCACCCCCTACAGGGCCACCAGGGGGCACCATTCCCACCAAAGTCTAACAGAGGAGCACCTCCTGGGGTTGGGTGGGAGCAGCCTGCCCGCAGGCACAAACCACAGAAGAGCCCCCCATGGCCAGACGCCCACATCTTTCCTCCATGGAATGTTCCCGTTTGCAGCATTAAGCGATAAGGTACTTGAGAGGTTTAGACACATGTTACCACCTTTCTTCTTCTAGACATCCCTCCTCACTAGGACCAGCATCCCCACCAGTGCCCCAGGCTTAGAGCCCTGGAGGCCTGCAGTACCCCCTCCCCCTCACTCTCCACCGCTTGTCCACAGTTGCCAAGTCCTTCCCCGCATCACTGGATCTGCTCACGGTTTCTCTCACGGCCACCACCTTGCTTCCGGCATGCTCGGATCGCTGTGACAACTTCTGAACCAACCTCTTCTCCTCATTCTCCGCTCCCCGGCTCCCAGTTCACTGTTGGTGCTACACTATATGATGTTCTTAGTTTTGCTCTGGTCTTAATCATGCCTAAGCTCGGACACTCTCGATGGCTCATTGAGTGCCTACAGAATAACATTCCAGCCCTTCAGAAGGGTGTGCAAGGCTCGCAACCTGGCCCCAGCAGCTTTTCAAACCTGTCACCCTCTGCCCCTTACCTGCACCTGTGTCGCTCTCCACTGGATCCCTCAAAGTCCTTTTATCTTGCTTTGTACTTGGCTGGCTCCCGTGAGATGCCCCTCTTTCATTTCCCCGTGTGTTAAAATTCTACCTCGCCCTCCAGGTCCAACTCAAATGCCCCATTTCGTAGAAAGGAAGCCCGGGAGCCCCCAGCCAGGAGTAATTTTCCCATCCTCAGGGTGTCCCTGCCTAGCCCTGGAACACTCCCATGCCCTGTCCTGTAGTCAGGGCACACGTCCGTCCGTCTGCAAGACAGAGGGTCCCTGGAGAGCAGCAGCTGTGACGAACTCTGTGGCACTGCTCACACCCAGCTCTGGGCCCCACATGTCCCCAGTGACCCACAACCATTCATCAATGGATGAATGCGTGAGTGACTAAAAGCCTCTAGCAGAATTAGCACAAATATCTTAGTCCAGCAGAAAACACCAGTAGCCCCAGGTACAGTGAGTGGGAACAACATGGCGACATTCGTCCCCCCGCCCCACCCCCCCACCACCACCCAGGAGCAAGTTTTCCTTCAGTATCTCAACGAAGCAAGCTCCAACGTTATATCATCTTTCTATTTCAAACACTTTTATAGAAAGTCTTCATTTCATTCTACAGTGCTTTAAAAGAAAAAAGAAAGAAAAGAAAGCTTGTGTGGCATCCGGGTCCTTATTTTGTTCTTCGCATCAGAAACTGGAGCTGATCAAATCCAGAGGCTCCTTCCGGGACCCTTGGCTCCTCGCCAGGATGCAGGTGCCCTGCCAGGTCCCGGTCCCCAATCCCTGCGGCCTCCCTGAGCCTGCTACAGAGCCTGGCCCACTGTGGCCTCTGCTACAAGGTCAGCTGAACAAACAAATGAGCAATGGGTGGGTGGGTGAGGGCCAGGAGCTGCTGCTCCAGGCTGCCCTGCCTCGCCCTGAGTACTCCCCCCTTCTCCCCCCTGCCCGCTGCCCCAAGTTCAGGGGTCAGGTCCCTGCAATGACCTTGGACCCCAGGAGCCCAGGTTCCTCCCTCACCTGCCTCTCCCATCAGCACACAGCACCAGCGACATTTTAGGGTCTGTGTCTGTCAGAGAGGATTGGAGTCCTGTAGCCTGATTCCCCAACTCCAATTATCGGGGGCGGGGGGGGGGGTCGGAGGGGGCCCTGAACGTTCTGAAGGACTCACACAGCAATCTCCTAATCCTTAAAACAAGCCTAGGTGAGAATGTGATTTCTCTCCATTTCACAGCTGAGTCTCAGAGGAGGAAGCAGCGTGCCCCAGAGCACAGATCTCAGTGGTCAGGCGGGGTCTGGCCACTGCACCCACAGTCACCGGCTTCCGGCATATTTATATGCCTTATTCTGATCAGGGATGTGATTGATCCCTGGCCATCTCCGTACCACCTGGGGACACGCACAGACCTGAGAAGAACTGAGCAGGTTACTATTAGTTCTTGTACACGGGGGCAGGCCACTCGTGGGTTCCACCTGCCTGTTCCCATCAACCGCTCACAGAGACTCCCCCAGCAGGTGACTGAGAGGGGAGGGCCCCTTCCAGCCCAGCCCCTTAATCAGTGCAAGGTGGGGCGAACAAGTTGGTTTGTAGGAGCGCAGACTTGGTCACCTGGTTCGCAGGTGGCAGGCCATTTCGCGGCCTAGGAAGAGAAACTCGGTAAGCTCTGTGGCTGCGGGGAGCCAGCTGTCTGCGAGGCCCTCCTTCCCCTACAAGCCTCCCCAGCCCTCGCCCCCTCTGCAGGCTCTCGGAAGCCCCCATTAACGAGATCATCGGCGACCCCTCGTGGGGATAAGCGGGTACTGCGAGCGCTCTGCGAATGCCCGTGCACACCAAGCTCTTTGTTGGACAGACAGCAAACAGCACTATCTTCCCAGGATCATCTACGATTTTGTTCAAAGATAATTAATAAATTACGAACTCATTTAAAATCTACTTTCTTAATGCATTTCCTTTTCAATGAATAGGAAACATACAACTACTGAGCAGGAGGTCCCAGCCACTTCGCAGCACTTAAGCAGGGGTCTCCAGCCTGGAAGGGTGAGGTGGGAGCGGAAACACCACCTGTAAAGTCCTGCCCACCGGGAGGGCTGCTCGTCATTTACTCTGCCTGGTCTGCTCCGTTACTGGTCAAAGCCCGAGGCCATGACGACAAGCAGGGTCTCTCTCTGGTCACCGCTGGGTCCCCACCTTGGGGCACAGGCGACTTCTGAGGCCTCACAAACCCACTAACCTGATGGCCAGGTTAAGAATGAAACAGTCCTGTGAAGGCAGCTCAGGGGAGAGAAGCCCTAGAGGCTGAGCAGATCTGGGTTGGCTCTAATTTCAGAAAACAGAGAGAAGTGGCTTCCGGCTTCTCCCTCTCCCAGATGGTATCAAGTTCACAGACCAAGATTATCACCAACCAGAGCCTACGTGGGCATTGTATACAATATTTTATCACCTATTTTTAAAAATCATATTTATTGCCTTATTCTGATCAGCCAGGAGAGGTATTATTAGCCCAGTGTTTACCATTAAGGAAACTGAAGCATTAAGTTAAGCAGCTTGCTGAGGTCACCCAAGCAGCTGGTGACAGAGCCAGATGGGGCTGGGGGTGTCTGTCTCCTCCCCCAGGAGTACCACTACAGCTTTCTGTCTTTAGCTCAACACAGCCTAACACAAGGAGCCAATGTCCTTCATGTCAAAGTGTTCATGTGTCCAACAAAATTTTTGCATCTACAAAGCAAACGTGCTCTCCTCTTTCTATTAGGAGCCAGAAGTTGGGGAAGCAGCAGTGACAGGCTCCCACCACTCCTAAGCCCTAGTGAACAGTGTGGAAATCACTCTCCCTTATTAAGGAAAAGACTGGGGGCGCCTGGGTGGCTCAGTCGGTTGAGCGTACAACTCTTGGTTTCAGCTCAGGTCACGATCTCAGGGTCATGGGATTGAGTTCCGTGTCGGGCTCTGCACTCAGAGTGGAGTCTTCTTGGGATTCTCTCTCCCTGTCCCTCTCTCCCCCCCTCTCTAAAATAAAATAAATAAACAAAATCTTGAAAGACAGAAAGGAAGGAGGGAAGGAAGAAAGAAAGGAAGGAGGGAGGGAGGAAGGGAGGGAGGGGGAAAGGAAGGAAAGAAAGAATCATTCCATCTTCCTATTTTCCCAGGAGCCAGCAGGCCTCCCCCGTGCTGCCCATGGCGAGGACCTTATAGACAAAGGCTCCCCGGAGCCCCCCGCCTGCAGACATTCAGCAGTCACAGACTATTACTTTTTCTCTCATTGCTCTGCCGTCCCGCACTTTGCCTGCAAGCAAGAGGCTTCAGTGGATAAGGCTGGCAGAGGTCTCCCTTGCGTTCTCGAAGCAGCACAGCCCATGGCACCTGAGGACACAGGAAAATGGAAAGCAGTGTGGCCCCGAGCCCCTTGCCTGAGAGAGGTGTTCTGCACACTGCTGTTTGCTTCGCTTCCCATGATTTATGCCGCGAGACCCAGCCTTTCTCTTCCGGATTTAAGGCTACCTGTCCTGGGGAGAGCATAAATCACTACATCTATGGCCATTTCCACCTCCGTAAGAGATCGGAGGAGACCCCTAGCCTGGCCGCCCTGTCTCCTGGGCTATTAGGAGCCAGTAGGGCATGACTGCTGGACGGCGGAAAGCCTGCGGGTTATCGGGGTGCTGTGCTGGCTTCCCGTGACCCCCACCTGCTTGCCCTCGCTCTGTGTTTGGGTCCATGATCCTCGTTCTAGAAACACAGCTTCCCGATGGACGTGAGCACAAAAGATTCAGGGGACGGATCTGAACACCCGAGTGCTTTCAAGGGCGGGTTCCTGCGGAGACACTAAGTCCAGGGTAACCGAGTAGCATGTTGTGGGGAGAGACGGGTCAGGTCCCAAAACCACTCAGCGGGTTTGCACACAGAATCATCCAGATCTGTCCTACCCAGCTTATGTCGGAGGGAAGAACACCCTGGCCGGCGAGAGGGGATGCAGCTGGTGAGCACGGGGTTCCTGACTCCCAGGACGGGGCTCCCCCCAACCTGCCCTTCTCCCTGCAGCTCCTCTGTGGCAACAGGAGGTAGGAAGGAGGTAGGAAGACCACATTCTGCTTTGTTCCAACGGTGAGTGAGAGCGTTTGAGGAATAGCTCGTCTGTCATCGCCACTTCTCAAAACCCTGCTCCCCTGACTGTTTCAACACACATAGGAGTGTTACAATTCCCAGACACGCGAACAAGTTAGAAGAATTTTATAGCAAACACCCATTTACCAACCCCCTGGACTCTACCCATAATACTTTTTTTTGAAAGATTATTTATTTATTTATGTGACACACACACACAGAGAGAGAGAGAGCAAGCAAGCACAAGCAGGGGGAGAAGCAGGCTTCCTGCTGAGCCAGGAACCTGATGTGGGGCTCAGTCCCAGCACTCTGGGAACATGGTCTGAGCTGAAGGCAGTCGCTTAACTGACTGAGCCACCCATGTACCCCACTACCCATAACACTTTACAACACTTCCTTGATCACATTTGTATCCATCCATCAATGCATTATAATTTTTTGGCATTTCCAAATAACTCACAGACATCCGTGGATTTCATCTCTAAACAGTTCAGCTGGTACATCATCCCCCTAGAGTTAAAATTTTCCATACTTTTTTTTTGATGGGGGAGATGTTCATGGAGTGAAATGTACAAAACTCAAATGTTTTAACATAATAAGTTCTTAATATGAAGTAATAAAATTAAGTGAAAACAAGAAAGTGAATTCACATTGTTTTGAGGATTGAGAAACAGACAACACCCCTGAAAATGATGAGATTTGCCTTAGGCTGGTCTGCACCATCTCTTGGAATGTTCTGGCAAATCCACGCTGAGTGGTGGGGACCAAATGGAAAGCAGCCATTTGCTTTTCAGTTCAAGAATGCCTCTCCTTAAGCTCACCCAGCTTGTCTGACTTTACTCCTGACCAGCTTCTCTGCCTTGTGGCCTGGCCCTCATGAAGGACACCCGTCTTCCCAGACTATGGGTGCTGGCTTCTGGGGGCAGGCCCAGAGCCTCATGCCTGGGGTGATTTGCTGGCTGGGACAACAGCCATCTACCCCAGGGCTTCAGCCGGCCCAGGAATGGCCAGATAGTAGCTTTTGGAACAGCAAGATGGGCAGAAAAAGATTGGTGTTGGGCCAAAGAAGGCTACAAGGTTTGTGAGAGAGGGTGGGGGGGCGTGGGGGTGAATGCTGGGGCGGGGGCAGGTGGCAGGACTCACATTCCAGGGCAATGAGTCTGGTCACACAGACCCCTCACTGTGCTCTCCCACGACAGTTTTAGAGCCAGATGGCACCAACTGCGTTCCTGCCCCAAGTCTTCTGGGGCTTTGTCTGAAGCAGCCACCACCGCGCTCCATGCCTTCCCCTCCCCCTCTCTTAGAGCTTCCGGGGACACAGGTCAGGGTCAAAGCTGAGGGGCTCGGGAGCTGCAGAGATGAGACCCGACAGCACCCCTCCAGCCCCACAGTGGGCAGATACCACCACTGCAGCGCTCAGGTCCTGAACTGACATTTTAGCAAAAGTAACACAGTTGATTGCAGAAAATCTAAAGACTACGTATAAGAATATACAGATTTGCCCATAATTCCATTACCACAAGAGCATCTCCATTAACATTTTGGCTTATAAACTTTCAAACCTTTATCACTCATGTGCATTTGTATATTTTAAAAAATAAAATCAGGGGGTGCCTGGGGACTCAGTCAGTTGAGCATCTGATTCTTGGTTTAGGCTCAGGTCATGATCTCAGGGTCATGGGATTGAGACTTAAGTCCAGCCCCGTGCTGGGCGTGGAGCCTGCTTGAGATTCTCTCTCCCTCTCCTTCTGCCCTGTCCTCTGCTCGCTGGCTCGCTCTCTCTCAAATAAATAAGTAAATCTTTAATAAAAAAAAAAACTAAAAAGCAAAATCAAATTAAAAAAATACTATATATGCTATTTTGTAATCAGCTTTTAAAAATCCAAGTTACTGGGACACCTGGGAGGCTCAGTCAGTTAAGCAGCTGCCTTCGGCTCAGGTCATGATCCCAGCATCCTGGGATCGAGTCCTTGCTCAGCAGGGAGCCTGCTTCTCGCTCTGCCTCTGCCTGCCACTCTGCCTGCCTGTGCCCTCTCCTTTCTCTCTGACAAATAAATAATTAAAACCCTTTAAAAAATAAATAAATAAAATAAAATAAAAATCCACATTATTTTAACTATCTTTCTATGCAATCTGAACTTGTTCTCTGTATCTTTCACTTAAAATTTCTTTTATTTTTTATTATGAGTATTTTAGAGTAAACATAAAAGTAGAAATGCTGCAAGGAATCCTCCTGTAATTATCCCCCAGATTCTATTAATCAAGGTTTGACATATTTTTCCACGTGACCTTTGTTTGTTGTTGTTGTTAGAATAATATATAGCCCATCCCAGACACTTCCCTACTTATTTCAACACCCCTCCCCAAAATATATGGGGGAAATTCTTCCATCACAATGCCATTATCACACCCAACAGGTTTTTAGTATCATCTAATACTCACTTCATAGTATAATTTGCCAAAATATAAACAACGCATTTCTTAATGGGTTCGCTTGAATTGTGAACTCCAGATGAGAAATAAAATGATCTGTGCCAGCAGGCCCTCTAGGAACCACGGCCCCCAGGAATACTGCCCAAGTTACCCAGTCACTGGGACCCCCTGCAGCTTGAAGACTGCATGTTGGTGGTATTTTCACAGCTTCTAGAAAGATCATGCTGCCTAGTCCTACCTCTTCAGGGTCTCCAGCGGCTCCTTCCTGCTCATGACGCCGGTATCTGGGTCCACCGTCGTTAAAATGCACCTGGACACACACACACACACAAAACATCATACAAGGGGCAGAGAGGACTAGCCTTGGCCCGCCCCTCCCTCTCCTGGCCAGGGCTAGAGGAACTTTACCTGGAACAAGCCATTATTCTTTTCATTATCACCTCACCAATAAGCAGCTCATCCCACGAATCCTAGGGGACAAAGCACAAAATTCCTTTGAGCCCTTCTGAGACCTCGCCCTGACCATGTAGGGACTTCACATGACATGCCGCCCGATGGAGCCATGTACACCCAAGATGGCAGATGTTTACGTCAACCCTGAGAAGCCACACACCCTCCTGTCCCCTCTCGGCCTGTGACATGTCTGTTCATCTTCCTGACGTGAAAGGCTCTCTCTGCTCCCACTGGTCACACTGTGATGGAAACGTCCCCCACCCCCGACAGATGCCACTGGGCTCGAGGAGGTGGGAATGGAAGGCTTGGGGCCCCCAGAGGGCATGGGAGACAGAGAGAAAGGGCTTGGAGGGGGATCGCCCTAACCTGTTCTTGTCCTCCTCCTCTGGGGATTTAGACCCTGAGGGCACTGGTAGGTTTACCTTGCATCTCCCCTGGCAGAGGTTTTATGGAAAAGATAGGATTTGAATAGAACCTTCCAGAACAGAGATTTTGGAAGGCACAAAAGAAGGGTCAGGAGACTCAGGGAACGATTAGAAGGAAGACACTGAGGAGACAAAGGACATCTGATCAGAGCCCTGAACTTCTTACCCTGGCAGAGAGTCGCAGGCTGCCTGAAGACAAAAATTCCTAAATTAAAACCAACCTGCCCAGGCCTTTGTTGGTCACAAGCCAGAAAGAGACTTGCAGACTCAGAATTTTAACTCTAAGAGTGTGTATCATTTTTGCTATTATGTATTAAAGTTTTTATTTTTTTTAAGATTTTATTTATTTATTTGACAGAGATCACAAGTAGGCAGAGAGGCAGGCAGAGAGAGAGGAGGAAGCAGGCCCCCTGCCGAGCAGAGAGCCCGATGCGGGGCTTGATCCCAGGACCCCGGGCCCCGGGATCATGACCCGAGCCAAAGGTAGAGGCTTTAACCCACTGAGCCACCCAGGGGCCCCCTATGTATTACAGTTTTTAATCATAAAGTGGGGCTTTGAACTGTTGGTGTCGCAAGGGTCCAAAAAAACCGCACCCAAACTGGAGCAACCCCAGCCTGTTCTGTGTGTGTCTGTCCACCAGGGGGCACCGTGGTTATTAAAAAACATAAAAGATCCAAAAAGAGAAATGTGGGTTCATTTATTACCCATCAAAGAATTATTTCCTGAGCCCCTTTCAGGTACACCAGAAACGGCTGAGGGCTGAGTCACAGATAAATAAGGTTAAAAAAAAAAAAGTCCACCATAAGGAAAGCCAGAGATGTAAATGGGTCTAAGGCCTGAGCCTTGGGATGCTTGGAGCCTGAGCAGACCGTTGGGGGCCAGCATGTCCCATCCAGTCTGGGTCAGTCACACCCCAGAGTCACCTACCACCCTGCACTCACCATCCTCCTGGCCTGCTCACAATCTGTTCACCTGGGACTGTGATCTCCTTGGAAGAAGCAGCTTGTTTCTTCAACCCTGTTTTTCCATGTGTCTATACATATTGCACCGGACACGGGGGTGCCAGCTCACAGTGTGATGACAGACACGCTAGGACAAAATGAGCTCAGCCAGTGTCATGTTAACATCTGACTTAAACCGAAATGTTCCCTGTGAGGGAGCACTCAGAGTTGGAAGGAAATGAAGGCTTCCAGAGCAAGATTCAGTTCAAACGAATCCAAACCAAAGGTCCTACTCTGGGCCATCTCCTCCGCACTCAGTTTCATCGACAACTGACCATCTCGGAACTCTGGGGTAGGAAACATCATCAACAAGACCCAGGGCTCAGGGATCGCAGCGGGAAAGAAGCTTAAGTCGGTCATAGCTGGGGGAATGCCTGAGCCAGGCCCCTTCGCTCTGACTGCTGGACAGAAACCCTCCCCCACCTCTCTGTGACACTCTCTGTGCCTACGAGCTTTTCCGCAGATTACTGACCTTGATTCTGACAGCTGCCCTCAGGGGACGGGCCAGCTGAAATCATCAGCATTTAACACCTGCAGGAAGCAGAGGCCTCAGGGGTACAAGGACCTGTCCAGGGTCACACCGCCACTTAGTGAAGCAGGTGGATTCACATCTGGTGCCCCAACCTCATGCATACCCCCTGCAATGCTCAGAGTTCCTTTGGCCCCTGGTACAGTCTGGGTTCAAGACCCAGCTCCTCCACTTCTTGCCATGGGGTAGCCCGGGGTGAGCCAGCTCACCTCTCCGGGCCTCTCCTCCCCCCTCCCCCTAATAAAACGGGAATGATGACTTCACCTCCCTGGGCTGCAAAGCACAGTGTGAGCATTAAGCAGAAATCCTCCCCGCTCCTTTCTCTTCCCCGAGAAGGAAAACCCTCCAGAGAAACTGCTTTACTGGCCACAGCTGGGGCGAGATGAGTATCAATGAGATGGGCAAAGGCAGCCCACACTGATTTTTCCCTCTTGCCTGAGCCCAGCTGAACTGTGCTGGACGTGAGCAAGGGCCGACGAGTTCCCTCGTCACAGCGGACCACGGAGAGACAGCCCAGTCCCGGCTCCCGGGGGAGAGCGTGTGTCCGGCCTCACACTAGGAGCGGACCTGCCATCTTTGGAAGACTTGATGTGCTCAGAGCGCTTTACATAAGGATGGGGTCTGGGGGCACATCCGTTGCCCTCCACTGCCTCACACAGCATTTATACTTTTCATAAGTTACCCTAGCCAAATTGGTCTTTTTTTTTTTAAGGTTTCATTTATTTATTTGACACAGAGAGAAAGATCACAAGTAGGCAGAGAGGCAGACAGAGAGAGGAGGAAGCAGGCTCCCCGCTCAGCACAGAGCCCGATGCGGGGCTCGATCCCAGGATCCTGAGATCATGACGTGAGCTGAAGGCATCATTGAGCCATCCAGGCGCACCCAAATTGGTCCTTTAATAAACCTGCAAGGTAATCCTGGGCAGAAAGGATCACCTCATTCTCCATGCAGGTAAAGGAGCCTTAGAGGGAGCGCATAGGGTCCTACAGAGGCCAGCGAGGAAGCTGATGGCCCACCTCAAAGCCTCGGGTTTGCGTGTGAGCCTCAAATTCCTAGACTGCTTCTTTGAGCACACGTAGCTGCCTCCTCACAGCATGACAGAAAGCCAGAATCCGTTCCCTTGAGTAGAAGGGATTAGAACTCAGTCACGTGGATTCGGTTCTGCCCCCTTCCCGTCCCCTCCGCTTTCCATCTAGAAACACGCACCATCCCAACTCTAGAACTCCCATCTGAGAACTAGTGCCTGTCGAGTATCCACAGATGGGTGGTCGTCACTCCCCAAACCCCCAGGCCTCCAAACTTTGCCTTCATGGCTGACGAGGGAGAGAACCCAACAAAATGTCCAAAGACAACGACAAAGCTAAGTCTGCCACCAGAACCATGTCACGTGGTGGGAACCCTCCACGCTAAGCCATAGCAAAGACATGTGAGCGCAGGTCAACGGTGGCACTGGAAGAATTTTAGGGCAGCGCCATCCAGCCTGGGGGCTCTGCTCCCACCTCTCCCTGACCCCCGCAGCAGCCATACTGTAAATGCCTGACTTCTCCTGCGGCCATCGACTGAACAGGAAAGCCAGCTTCGACAAGACATGAACACACCTGCTTCTGATCCATGGCCCACACATGTCATGTATTTTACACCACATAAAGCTGGCAGGGAAACTACTCTACCTACTGGGAACTGTCATTAGAAGTCTCAGACCCAGAACAGCCCCCTGACACCAGCATGTCATTTGTACATTTGTATTTCCGCCCTCCCTGCGGAAGTCTGTCCTGATCAGATGCTCCAGAAATCAAAACTCTGAATTGTCTAGCATACAAGCAATAATTAATGAATTCTTCAATAATCTAATGCAACGTTAGAGACTCCTATACCCTAAAAAAAAAAAGTTAAATCCAAGGAGAGGGACAAGGAAGGTATCCTGTTACCTCGGCATAGACACCACAGCCTGAAATTACGATATTGGGCCTGAAGTTCGTCACTTTAACTTTCTTCTCCAGCCTGGAGTTGAGATCTGCCAACGATGCCTCAGACAGGATCAAGAATGGGCTGGCATCAGAGTACGCAATCTGGTAAGGAAATAGAAATGGTTAGAATGTGGCACACAGAGGTCACATGTGTCCCATGTGCCTAGTTCCTGGAACCCTCTCCTCCCCAGCTCCCCCACCCCGTGTGCACACGCACATCCGCGCGTGCACGCACACAATATTTCTACGTATTTCTTTAGTTCTTTCTGTAGAAAAGTCACAGTGGTTCAGAACTCTTAAGCAGCCTTACAGATAACAGGAATCACAGGATGGAATGAAGAGAACGTGGCCTCGGGATCAAGAGTTGCCACCGGCCAAGTGCCTTTAAGGAAGTCACTCCACCTTTCCAAGCCTCAACTTCCCCAATGTTGATGAGTTTGATGACCTCAAGACGGTTGAAAAAAAAAATTAATTGATTCCCTGGATACCTATTTTTTATGCAACCTGCAAATCAACATCAAGTCCGTTTTCTATTTATATAATTTTTTTAACAGCCATAATAATTGTGCTACCGTAGCATCGGGCTACCAACCCTCCTTTTGATGAATCCTCGCAGCCTTATTCCTGAAAGGGCCAATCTGGTCACTTTAAGCCTGTGGATCTCCACACCCTCATACGCATTTGCCCAACAGTGATCGGACCATTGCAATCACACGGTAAAAAGGCTGGACTCCACATACAACTACAGAAACAGAGTGGAAAAGATCTGGATATAGAACAGTTTTGAAACCCTGCTGACACTGGAATGCTTCCATAGATAGGAAGGGAGATGGCCATGGGAAAAATGCAAGAGTCCCCCAAATCAAGAAACACAGACGAAGCTTCCAAAGGAAGGGCTTTGTTTTGCCTGTCGTTTATAATCTCCAGCCGCAGCTTGGGCCAAGCTTGTGGCAGGGAGTTGGGGGGGTTGCCTGGCAAACCAACAGAGCGGAGCTCAGCAGACAGGCTGCCCCTCCTGATGGGCTCTGCACCCCCGAGGAAGCTGCCTTCCACAGAACACAACAAGGGTCAAAGGCAAGGGATGCTCCTCTGACCTGGTCGGTGGGCCGGAACGCGTCCAATATTTGGTGAGAATTTCTCGGTCGCAGGTGAGGCTCGAAGTGCACCAGGCGGTAGGGCTGCGTCTTCAAGAAGCCCGTAATCCACTGGGCCGCAGCCTCCCCACAGTCCCTGCCCTCGATCTCCAGGCCGTGCACTCTGCAGGGGGGGCGGGGGGACAGGAGCAGAGAATGGCCACGGGTTTGAAAATCTGGATACCTAGCGTGTCCTACACACATCCGAAAAGCCGGGATGTCACTGTGATGCTTTACTTACCAGGAAACATGATTTTAGCCTGGCCCTGCCTCCAAACCCCTGTGTGAGGCTCAGTGAAGTCCATTTCAAGCCTTGCTTTCCCCAGTTTCATAACAGAGTGATGCATACCTGTGCCTCCCTGTTTGTAAGGCATGCACGGGAAAATAAAATAAGATCATAGGTTTGAAAAGATATGGTGTTCTCCGGAAGAAAACGAATGTGTCAGTATAAAGTAAACTTGTCATTAAAGCAAAACCTGGCTCCCCCAGCTGGAGAGGAACCAGAAATCTCTCCTGATAGGCCCAGCTAAACGTTACCAGTATGAAGATAATGAAACTAGAGGCAGCCATGTGTGCGAAATGTCCTATAAAATCTAAAACATTATAGGGACGCCTGGGTGGCTCAGTTGGTTAAGCGGCTGCCTTCAGCTTGGGTCGTGATCCCAGCGTCCTGGGATCGAGTCCCACATCAGGCTCCTTGCTCAGGAGGGAGCCTGCTTCTCCCTCTGCCTCTGCCTGCCACTCTGTCTGCCTGTGCTCACTCTTGCTGACAAATAAATAAATAAAATTTAAAAAAAATCTAAAACATTATAGACAATAATCCAATTTGATTTGATTGCTAGCAATCAGCATACCACTGAAGTTACCCCTCCCCCCACCCCTGTCCCAGCCCCAGACATCCAGGATGCAGGACTGCGTGGGAGCTATAGGATCAATACTACTGTCGTTCTTCAAGGTAAGACTGGGTCTTGGGTACAACAGGAAAGAAGGGTGAATTGCACAGAGAGAATGTGATTTCTGTTCGGTTTCATGATAGCACGGCTTTAACTTCTAGCAACACATGATATTCATCTCTTTTTAAAAAGAAAGACCTCAGGTCCAGAGACCTCTCTGTAGGCAATATTTCTAGCTAGAATTGGGTAACATTCCATTTATAGCATATTTATTATTTCAATTACCTTCTCTACCTGGCAAATTGTTTAGGTACCCATATAACGTTTCCCTATTTTTTTTTTTTAAAGTAGGCTCCATGCCCAGAGCCGAAAGTGGGGCTTGAACTCACAACCCTGAGATCAAGACCTGAGCCGATATTAAGAGTTGGACACTTAACTGAGTGAGCCACCCAGGAACTTCCAAGGTTTCCTTTTTAAATAAATGCCTTTAAGATTGTCCTTTCTGGGGGCGCCTGGATGGCTCAGTGGGTTAAGCCTCTGCCTTCAGCTCAGGTCATGATCCCAGGATCCTGGGATCGAGCCCCGCATCGGGCTGTCTGCTCAGCGGGAAGACTGACCCCCCACTCCTGCCTGCCTCTCTGCCTACTTGTGATTTCTGTCTGTCAAATAAATAAATAAAACCTTTAAAAAAAATTGTCCTTTCTGTAAAATGACAGAAAGTAGAGGCAAAATCACCACAAAACAAAACAAAACAAAAATCCATTTCAAGCAGCAGAAGCAGCAAAAAGAATAAAGAAAAAAGTATCTCATGCTGAACCCACGCTGCTCCAAAACAGTAAAATTTTACACATCTTAATTTTGAAATAAAAAAAATAAAGGATCCTTCCTTTAGGGGTTTGTCCACAGAACAGGAAATTATGCCCAGCCTATATTTTAGGGTAAAATTAATAGAAATACAGCAACTTCGTTCTTCATCAGTCTCATTTAAAATAGGAACATGTTTCTCAGCTGTCTATGGCACCATTCATCAGAGAAAAAGGAAGAAAATCTAAATTCACCCCTTCACCAAATTAGTTCCTTTCATCAAGTCCCACAAATCACGGATTCCTGTTCAGCAGGGAAGGGAAAAGTACTTTCATCCTCACGACATCAAATTAACTAATTAATTGTACTATAAGTAAATGAACTCAACATTAAAAAAAAAAACTTTTAGGGGCGCCTGGGTGGCTCGGTGGGTTGGGGCCTCTGCCTTCGGCTCAGGTTGTGATCTCAGGGTCCTGGGATCGAGCCCCGCATCGGGCTCTCTGCTCCACAGGGAGCCTGCTTCCTCCTGCCTCTCTGCCTAGTTGTGATTTCTCTCTGTCAAATAAATAAAATATTAAAAAAAAAACTTTTAATCTGGGATTAGAATTTTAAATCATGTTCAGAACAGCAAATATATACAAGGCAATAATCTAATTTCTATGAAGAAATAACATGTGTCCATCTGAGAAGAGAAACCCACGGTAATGAACAGGTACAGAGCTGAAGACCATTTGCAGAGAATAAGAAGCCCCAAGCAGAGAAAGAAAAAAGGAGGAGGGGGCTGTTCCCAGGACTTAGGAGACAGGCATCACTCCGTGGGGAGGGGGCTCAGCCTGGGACAGCCACAGGCACAATAAGCACCACCTGCAGAATTGAAGAAACCAGGGGTTTAGGACCTGCCCGCATGATTACCTGCCAGAATCTACTAAAATCTTCCTTTTTTTTTTTTAAATCTTATTTATTTATTTGACAGACAGAGATCACAGTAGGCAGAGAGGCAGGCAGAGAGAGGGATGCAGGCTTCCTGATGAGCAGAGAGCCCGACGTGGGGCTCTATCCCAGGACCCTGAGATCATGACCTGAGCTGAAGGCAGAGGCTTTAACCCACTGAGCCACCCAGGTGGCCCTACTAAAACCTTTCTAAAGTTAATATCCTAATGCCTGTTGTTCCCCAGAATTCCAGAATGCGCTTTAGAAAAGCTGATTCAAGTTATGCTGATAGTCTATCTTACGCCTATTAAATCCAGTATTAGTGCATGAGAGACACGTTTCTTTTTTTTTTTTTTTAAGATTCTATTTATTTATTCGTCAGAGAGAGAAAGAACGAGAGAGAAAGCACACAAGCAGGGGGAGCAGCAGGCAGAAGGAGAAGCAGACTTCCCGCTGAGCAGGAAGCCCAATGTGGGACTCCATCCCAGGACCCGGCATCACGACCTGAGCCTTAAAGGCAGACACTTAACCCACTGATCCCCCAGGCGCCCCGAGATACACATTTCTTATAGAATTAAAAGCCTTTGATAGTTCACTACTGAAGATGTATGTAAATGAACTCACTACATATCCTGTAAAGAAATACCAAGAATAAGAAAAATAAATAAATAAATGCCTTTAAGGTCTTTTTTAAAAGCTGAATCAATTTGAAGGAAAACATTAAGTAAGTAACAGTTGACTCTTGAACCTGTGGGGTTGGGGGCATCAACCCTCCATGCGGTGGAAAATCCACATCTAAATGTTGACTCCCCAAAATTTTAACTACTAATAGCCTATGTTGACCAGAAGCCTTAAGGATAACAAACAGGTGATGAACACATTTGGGTTTTTTGTTTGTTTGTTTGTTTAAGATTTTATTTATTTATTTGACAGAGAGAGAGAGAGACAGCAAAAGAGAGAGAGAGCGCACAAGCAGGGGGAGTGGGAGAGGGAGAAGCAAGTGCACAAGCAGGGGGAGTGGGAGAGGGAGAAGCAGGCTTCCCACTGAGCAGAGAGCCCTATGTGGGACTCAATCCCAGGACCCCGGGATCCTGGCCTGAGCCGAAGGCAGATGCTTAACAACTGAACCACCCAGACACCCCTATCCTCAAATTTTTTAAAAATTAAAAATAAATAAACCAGCTCTTGGTTTTGTTGATCTTTTCTATGATTGCTCTGGCCTCTGTTTCATTTATTTCTGCTCTGATCTTTGTTATTTCCTTCTTTACGTTAACTTCTGGCTTAGTGTGTTTTTTTTTTTTTTCTTAACTCCTTGAGGTATAAAATTAGGCTATTTATTTGAGATCTTTCTTTTTTTTAATGTCAGCGTTTATCACTACAAACTTCTCCCTGAGAACTGCTTTTGCTGCGTCCCACAGGTTTTGGTAAGTTGTGTTTCCATTTTCGTTTGTTTCAAGATGTTTTCTTAAACTTCCCTTTCGATTTCTTCTTTGACTCACTGGTTGGTCTGAGTGTAGTGTTCAATTTCTGTGTGTTTGTAAACGTTTCAGCTCTCCTCCTATTTTGGCTTCCGGTTTCATACCATTGTGGTTGTAAAAGTATTTAATATGATTTCAGTCTTCTTCAGTTTGCTGACTTGTTCTGTGACCTATCACAGGACCTCCACTGGAGAAGGCCCCTCATGTCCTTGAGCGGAAGGTGTATTCTGCTGCTGTTGGAGAGAATGTTCTGTGAATGTCGGTTAGGTCCACCTGGTGTGAAGTATGGTTCAAGGCCAACATTTCACTATTGATTTTCTCTCCAGGTGATCTATCCATCACTGAAAGTGGGATAACTAAGGCCGGACTATTGCTGTCTTGTCCATTCTGTTAGTATTAGTAAATTAGTAAATATATTAATATATATTAATATATTACATATATTAATATTATAATAAATATATTAATATTTAGGAACTCCAAAGCGGGGGGGGCATATATATTTATGATTGGTACATATTCTTGATGAATTTATCCCTTTCAGGGCGCCTGGGTGGCTCAGTCGGCTGAGCGTCTGCCTTCAGCTCAGGTCATGATCTCAGGGTCCGGGGACTGAGCCCAGCATCGTGCTCTCTGCTCAGCAAGGAGTCTGCTTATCCCTCCCCCGCCTTCCCCACCCATCCCTGGCTTGTGCTCTCTCTCTCTCTCTCTCTCTCAAATAGATAAAATTTTTAAAAAATTATTCCTTTTCATTATATAATGACCTTCTTTGTCTCTTATTACAATCTTTGGCTGAAAGTCTGTTTTGTTTGACTAAATACAGCAACCCTTGCTCTCTTTTGGTTTTTGGTTTCCAAATGTGTTGAATTATCTTTTCTCAACCCTTCACCCAGAGCCTGGGTGTGTCCCTAAAGTTGAAGTGAGTCTCTAAGAGGCAGCATATACATGTGCCTTTGGAGAATTTAATCCATTTCCATTAATTATTAATACCTAGAGGCACCTGGGGGACACAGTCAGTTAAGCATTCAACTCTTGATTTCCACTCAGATGTGATCTCAGGGTCGTGAGACTGAACCCCACATCAGGCTCCACACTGGGCATGGGGCCTGTTTAAGATTCTCTCTTGCCTCTCCCTCTGCCCCTCCCCCCCAGCTGTTGTATTATTGATTACTATTATTGATAACTAAGATAATGTCATCTTGTTATTTTCTAGCTGTTTTGTAATTCCCTTGTTCCTTTCTTCCTCTTTTTCTATCTTCCTTTGTAAATCGATGATTTTCCATAGTGGAATGCTTTGATTTCCTTCCCTTTATCTTTTATGATTCCACTGAAGGGTTTTTGCTTTGTGGTTATCCATAAGGTTTAGTTAAAACCTCTTATAGATATAGCAGTCTATTTTATGATGACAACTTAGATCTCATACAAAGCTCTACCCTTTAACTTCCCACCCCCTTTTATGTTTCTAATGTCACAATTTACTGGTTTTATACTGCATATTTATTGACAAATTATTGTACCTATAGTTTTAATATTCTGGCCCTTTAACCATTATGCTAGAGTTAAGTGATTAACGTACCACATATTACAGTATTAGAATATTCTCAATTTGATTCTTTGTTTATTATTTATTTATTTATTTATTTTAGTAATCTCTACACCCAACATGGGGCTCAACCTCATGACCCCAAGATCAAGAGTTACATACTCTACCAACTGAGCCAGCAGGTGCCCCACGCCTGTGTTTACTTTTATCAGTGTGTTGTATATTTTCATATGCTCTCCTCTTACTAATTAGCATTTTTCCTTCCAGCTTGAAGAACTTCTTTTAGCATCTCCTGTGAGACAGATGTGGTGGTGACGAACTCCGTCAGCTTGTGTTCGTCTGGGAAAATCCTTATCTGTCCTTCATTTCTAAAGGCTAACTTTGCCAGAGCGGGTACTCTTGACTGGCAACATTCTTGATCATCCCATTCTCTGCTAGCCTGTAACGTTTCTGCTGAGAAGTCGGCTGATCGCCTTATGGGGGTTCCCTTGTAAGTTACGAGCTTCTTATCTTTTGCTGCTTTTAAGATTCTTTTTCTTTTGGGCGCCTGGGTGGCCCAGTTGTTGGGCGTCTGCCTTCGGCTCAGGTCATGATTCCAGCGTCCTGGGATCGAGCCCCACGTCAGGTTCCCTGCTCGGCGGGAAGCCTGCTTCTCCCTTTCCCACTCCCCCTGCTTGTGTTCCCTCTCTCGCTGTCTCTCTCTCTGTCAAATAAATAAATAAAATCTTTAAAAAAAAAAAAAAGATTCTTTTTCTTTGCTTTTTGATTGATTTATTATAATGTCTGGGAGAGGCTCTATTTAAGTCTGTTGGTGACCTATAAGCTTCACAAACATGGAGATGCAAAGGTCTCCCCAGATTTAGGAAGTTTTCAGCCATTACTTCTCTAAGTAAGTTTTCTGCCACTTCCACTTTTTTTCTTCTTCTGGAACTCCAATAATTCACCAATTGTTTCTTTTAATGGTAATCAATACAGCACATTGGCTTTTTTCACTCTTTTTCATTCTCTTTCATTTATTCTCCTCTGACTGGATAATTTCAAAGTTCTGATTTTCAACCCCACAGATTCCTCCCTTTGCTTGACCCATGTTGCTGCTGATAACATTCTAGGCATTTTTTATTTCATTCATTTTATTCTTCCAGAATTTCTCTTTGTTTTTTTTTAAATCATTTCTATCTCTTTGTTTAGCTTCTCACTTTGTCCATTTATTATTTTCCTGTTTTCACTGAATTGTCTCTCCATGTTTTCTTGTAGCTCATGGAGTTTCCTTAAAACAGCTATCTGCATGTCTTGTTGGGTAAATCACACACCTCCGTGTCTTTGAAATACGTGACTAGGTTCCTATGCTCTCCTAGTGATGTCAGGTTTCACTGACTTCTCATGTTGCTCAGGGTTCTGTGTAGCTGTCTTCACATCTGAGTAGGAGTTACCTCCTCCATTCTTTACTAACTGCCTTCAGTAGAGAAGATTCATAAATACCCACAACATGAGGCCCTTAAATTAGCACGATTTGTTCTCTGCCTTCTTCCTTTCTCTTCCCACATTTCTCCTGTGTTCTGTGCAGCCTCAGCTGTGTCATTGGGTCCAATATTCCACTGATACTCTGTCCCAAAAAAACCAAGCCAAAAAAAAAAAAAAAATCCAAATGGATAATCCATTGAGTGGCCCTAATTCTCTGTATCCCATCAGCAGCTGGCATGGCTTGTAAGAAAATCAAGCAAGAACTTCAACAGTAAAAACAGGTGTATTGGTTGTGATCACGACCTTTTGAAAGTGACCCCAGGGCCCTAAGACTCATCCAAAATCTTTAGGAGATGGGGCCCCTGCACGGCTCAGTAGGTTAAGCCTCTGCCTTCGGCTCAGATCATGATCCCGGGGTCCTGGGATTGAGCCCCAGATCAGGCTTTCTGCTTGGCCGGGAGCTTGTTTCCTCCTCTCTCTCTCTCTCCCTGCCTCTCTCCTACTTGTGATCTCTGTCTGTCAAATAAATAAATAAATAAATCTTTAAAAAAAAAAAAAAGAGGGACGCCTGGGTGGCTCAGTTGGTTAAGCAGCTGCCTTCGGCTCAGGTCATGATCCCAGCGTCCTCGGATCGAGTCCCGCATCAGGCTCCTTGCTCGGCAGGGAGCCTGCTTCTCCCTCTGCCTCTGCCTGTCATTCTGTCTGCCTGTGCTTGCTCTCTCTCCCTCTCTCTCTCTCTGACAAATAAATAAAATCTTTAAAAAAAAAAAAAAAAGAAAGAAATCTTTAGGAGACTGTGGGCTGAAGCTAAAAATCCATGAGAGAATGGCCTGGGCTGCCAAAGGAAACCGAGGTCGAAAAGGTCCTTGATATACTTGCCCTAAGAGTCTGTGAACTAGGGGCACCTGGGTGGCTCAGTGGGTTAAAGCCTCTGCCTTCGGCTCAGGTCATGATCCCAGGCTTCTGGGATCAAGCCCCACATCGGGCTCTCTGCTCGGCGGGGGAACTGCTTCCTCCTCTCTTCTCTCTGCCTGCCTCTCTGCCTACTTGTGATCTCTGTCTGTGAAATAAATAAAATCTTAAAAAAAAAAAAAAAAGAGTCTGTGAACTATTGTAACATGTCTAAACCTTCTCATTTTGCAATTTCCAAACACGTTCTTGTTTAGTCTTTGAGTGTGGACCAAAGAGCCTGTATGGGGCCATGAAAAAAGTTTCCACGTAATTCCAAATGAATTAATAATGAAGTGGGAAAAAAAAAAAAAAACACAAGAAAATATGGGTAAATACCTAGTCTTGGCAAACAAACAGGAACCAGAACATGAGCAAATATATAACACAAATTACAACAGACATATTAAAAAGTTTGCCTCGAGGGCGCCTGGCTGGCTCAGCTGGTGGAGGATACAACTCTTTGATCTTGGGGTCATGAGTTCAAGCCCCATCGCTGGATGCAGAGCCTACTCTAAAAAAAATTAAAAATAAAAAGTTTGCCTCAGATAAAAATTAAATGCAAATGAAAGCAACAAGAAATTGCGATTTTTTTCCCTATAAAATGGCCAAATATTTTTTAACATAGTGGTCAGAATGCAATTAGACAGAGATACCCACAAAATACTGATTGCTATACAGTTAGCGTAACCATTTGGCAAAACTATTTAGCACATACATCAAAGGTTATAGTTTCTTGTTTCTAGCAAAACCACCACTAAAAATTTCTCCTTAAGGAAATAATAAGCCTTTTGAACAAACACTGAGATAACTGTCACATTCTTCTTCGCACCTGGAAAAACTGGAAAATAATCCAAATATTTAATTGTGGGAACATGTTAAAATGAATTATAGGATGCACCCTCAGAATGAAATGTTAGGCCAATGTGAAAATTGTTATCTTTGAAGATTTTTAGCAATATGAAAAAGTACTAAACATATCAAGTATATGGCCGTATTCAAGACTCTGATTTTTATCAGAGTCTTTTTTTTACAGAAAACATCAGTGTATTACTTATAGTTAGCTCACAGGTTTTTGTTTACTCCTTTTAGTATTTTCCAGTTTTTCAACTATGAATATAGTTAAAAGAATGAATATAGTTAAAAGACATCAAATTAAAATAAGAACATATTAGTCTGAACCTCTGAACTATTACAGAAATTAGATGGGTATCGCTTTTGGGAGTCTTTAGATATTTTTCAACTAATTCAGATCTACATTTTTTGATGTGATGTTATTTGCGATGATAGGCTATGGACTCCATTAAGCGTTCACAATGCATTTTAGTTCAAAATGCAGAAAACAATGACAGGAGTACAATTAGACCAAACTCTAATTTCCCATTATGGATAAAAAAATCACCTCGAGACATGCATTCTCAGAAGCAAAGCTAGTTTTCTTAGACTGTTTCCTTGCAGCCCTGCTAATGTCAGGCGAAGAGTAAGCCTCTGGGCAGAGCCCCTTCCTGCCTGAAACCCCCACCCTCGCAGTCGCACACATAGACCCCCGGGTACACGCAGGTCAGAGCACTCTCCTGGCTACAGTTGTCTTTTCTATCTTAGAACTTTCTTTCACCGGTACTAAACTGCACAGTTCACAAAAACATTTGCCACTCCCTTCCTAACTCAGATTTGGAAGGTTCCAGTCTCCCCGGGCATAACAGGCCAAGTCTGACGGCAATACGCAGGTCTCATCTCACATCTTCCGAACATCGTCTGCTGTCACTCCCATCCCATCCCTGTCCTTCATCCTCTAGTGGCGTGACTTTCTCTACGCCTTCCTTACCTGCACTTGTACACCGCATTCGTGGCCGGTGTCTTGAGAGGCAACTGCAAGTCCTGCGTGTAGGCTGCACTGAGGGTCAGGGCATCACCCTCGCAAGTCAGGGAAATCAGGACCAGCCGAGGCTCCTGCCGGGCCGTCACCATGTTCCCCTTCTCGTTGATCACCAGCCAAAACCTGCCGTGTTCAAAACACAAGATCTGCACATGGGAGCTTCAGGCATACGCTGTCCTCTTGGATTTCCTCCCTGTCAGCCTAGTGTGTGAGTCTGTGTGTCTGTGTGTGTGTATCTGTGCATCCATCCTAAACATCAACTCAGCAGCACAGCACGACTGAGTCTGTCGGTTAATTTCAAAGGGTTTAGGAACCGGTCAAGCATCCGATATTTCTAAGATCTTCAGAACATTCTGAGCTCCGGGATGGCACAGAAATCAAAGATGTTATCATATTTTCATTTCAACTGCCAGAAATTCTGACCCGTTTCATTAAACATGCCCCAAAGAGATGACAACAAACTATTTCCCAGAGAGAGGCTAACGGCACCGGGAGGTACTGTGCCTGGCACACACTAGGCCCCAGGCTCCAGCAGCGCATAATAGGACGGTTGCTCTCTTGTTCTCAGAGCATGGAGTCCGGGGGGACAGTGCATAAGACACCACTTACACCTTGGCAAATCCACCCCTACCTTCTTAAAAAAATTAATGTTTCAGTATTCAGGGAGGTGAATTCTGCAGTTTGCTCCAAGGTTTATTGATACCATGGACAAAATTTTTTCTGGCACAAAACTCCTGATCTAGAGGTACCTGCCAGAAAAAAGATAAAAGAACGATTGGAAACTGTTCCAGGGTGGGCGGTGGGGAGTCCTTTGTACAGGTCACTCCTCAGCTGCACGTATGGGAGCTAAACATACGGACACGCTGGTAATTTCAGTTCACGCTGGATCAAGAGATCACAGTTATAAAAGTCCGCTTGTGCCTTCGGAATCCATAAACAGAACTTGCCGGTAAATAGGGGAGGTTGTTAAGAGCTTCCTTGCATCCCTTTAGTGGGTCATCATGGTCGAGATCCTTCAGCTACACGAGAAAACAAGGTGAGTGGGAGCCCCTTCCTGAACTGCCCATTTACCGGTCCTCATCCTGGACCCAGCCGGAGCTCTGCCCTGCTCCAATCCTTCGTACCAGCACATGAATATTCTTCTGATGTCATAATTCTTCCAGGTAACGATGGCAGCCTGATCTTTCCTTTCTTTTTACTATTTTGAAGTAATCTCTATGCCCAACGGGGGGGCCTGAACTCACGACCCCAAGATCAAGGGCCTGAGACTCCTCCCACAGAGCCAGCCGGGCATCCTGCAGTTTGATCTTTCCCAACCACCAATCTAAATGTGTCACCCCCTCGTGAAAAATCCCTTCATGGCTCCCGCTTTCAGGATAAAACCCGAACTCTTTGGCCAGGCAGGCAAGGCCCTACGTAACCCAGCTGCCCTGTCAGCCATTCACAACTCACTGTGCCCTCACACGGGCCAGCCTTTTCCTTTTTAAATTTTTTTTATTGTAAAGTATATATAACATAAAATGCCTGGCATGCTCTTGGGTATGTCCAAAAGGATTGAAAACAGCGTCTCACACTGATCCTTGCACACTAATGTTCACAGCAGCATTACCCACAACACTGAAACGTCAAAACAACCCAAGACAGAAAATGGGTATTTTTTTTAATGTGTTTTTAACCATTTTAGGTGCACAATTCCAGGGCATTAAGCACCTTCACAATGTTATGCAACCATCACCATCAATTTCGAAAACTTTTCATCATCCCAAATAGAACCTTTAACCCCATTAAGCAATAACTCCCCATTCCCCCCTCCCTCTGAGCCCCTAGTAAACTCGAATCCACTTCCTGTCTCTAGGAATTTGCCCACTTCAACTATTTCATGTAATTAGGATCATGCATCTGTCCTTTTGTGTCTGGTTTATTTCACTTAACATAATGTTTTCAAGATTTATCTACGCTGGGGGCACGTGGGTGACTCAGTGCCTTAAGCCTCTGCCTTCAGCTCAAGTCATGATCTCAGGGTCCTGGGATCGAGCCCCGCCTCTGGCTCTCTGCTCAGCGGGGAGCCTGCTTCCCCCTCTCTGCCTGCTTCTCTGCCTACTTGTGATTTCTCTGTCAAATAAGTAAATAAAATCTTTTAAAAAAAAAAGATTTATCTACCTTGTAGCGTATATCAGAACTCCGTTCCTTTCTGTGGCCAAACAATATTCCATTGTGCAGAGATATTGTTTATCCACTCATCTGCGGGTGGGTATTTGGGTTGATTCCACCTTTTGGCCACGGTGGTGTAGACATATCTGCCGGGTTTCAATTCCTTCCCGTAATCCTCAAAGAACTCACTCACCTTTCCCCCAGTATACTTTCCCTCCAAATCCGGGTCTTTACCCAGCTTCCTCGGTGTCTCTCTCTCTAGAATGTTCCTCTCCCAATTTACTTGCCTGGAAAGTTCATAATTATTTGAAAATTCGTAAATTTTCAGTTCAAGTGACGAAGTCATTCCTGCCCACGCCAGGCGGTTTCTGGCGCTCCCTGGCACTTGTCACACTGAGTACAGTAAGCCTTTGTTGACGTCTCCCGATCATACTTGGTGGTAGTGGGTGGACAAAAATAGGGTCGGCCACAATGCAGGCTCTGATTGTTCCTTATTAATATATGAGCTCAGTAACTATTCCCAGTCCATACAGTAAAATAATAATGCCCTTTGCCTCTGGGGCCTACAAAACGAATTCAATAAATTCGACCATCTTGCAGAGTTGGGGAGCTCCGTACAAACCATGAAATATCTAGGACTCTTGGCTTCCTTCCTGTAGCAAAGGCGCATAGCTCACCCTTCACTGATGCTGTGAGTTGCCTCTGTCCGGGGGGCCTCAAGGCGGGAAGGCTACAGCCCCGCTCCGCTCTGCGCTCCCTGCAGGAGCTGGGAGGGCTGGGCTGGGAGGACCGCGCTTGAAGCGCAGCCTCACAACGAGGCTCCCGGCTGGCCTGACGCCCGACCCAGAGAAGAAAGCCGCTCGCTCGGGGCCTCTGCAGCCTTCCCTGCACCCCGAGGCTTCACGCAGATCGTGAGCACCCACACAGGGCTTTACTAACAGGACCTCACAAAGCACCCGCGTGCTCAAGAGAAGGAGAGTCCTGGTTTCCCGGCTCAGGGACGCGGGAGCTCGGTTTCTTCATCCCTGCAGGAGGCCTTGCGAGAATTCGGGAAAAGGCAGCACAACAGCACTTCTAAAGCGGCCGGAAGCTTAAACTGCAACATCTGTCATCTGGACTATGAGCCCCACCTGGGTGCGCTGCAGGAGGGCTGGGCTTCGCGGCCCCAAGTCTCCCCAAGTTCTCCAGAGACAATTAATAAAACTAATGTGGCGGGACGAATCCCTGGACGCTCGGCGCCTCCGCTAGACGGAGCTCAAGTCGGCTTGCACACTGGCAGCCACCTGGGCGCCAAAACCAGTCCCGGGCAGGAACGCAGAAGGAAAAGCGCCGGCAGGAGGCGGAGAGACAGCTGTCTCCGGGAACTAGGTCGGGACACAGAGGCCCAGGGTCCCGGGCTCCCGGGGTCCGCTGTCGGGAGGTAGTGCTCCTAGCTCTTTGTCCTTGCCCCATTGTAAGGGAAGGAAGGACCTGCCGGCGGACTCTGCAGACCACCCGCTCCCGCCCGGCGGGAGCCCACCCCACGCAGCCCCGGCCCAGCCTTACCTGTCCCGCAAGTGGCCGCAGCGCAGCCCCAAGGCCGTGCACTCCGCCGCGCTCACCGGCACCCCCTTGCACGACTTGACCGGGTAGATCCAGAGCTGCGCCACGGTGCCCACCTGCTGCAGCCGCCGGCGCCGCCTGCAGCGCGCGCGGCGCCAGGCGACCGTCCCCAGCGCCACGGCGGCCAGTCCCAGCGCGGCCACCCCGAGCCAGGCGGGCCGGGACGGCGCGGGGAGGCCGAGGCGGCCCAGAGCGGACGAACCGGCGGCGCCCATGGCCGAGCCCGCGGGAGCGCGGGCGGCGGCGGCCGCTCCGGCGGGGCCTTCCGCGGACGCCCAGCGGTCACCCCCGCAGAGCGCGGCCGCCGCTGGGGCTGGGAGGGAGGCGAGGACCTTGGCCCGGAGCCGAAAGGGCAGGCCGCTCCCGAACCCCTTCCGGGCGCTCCGGGTACCGCGGCCTTCGCCTGCGGAGTGGCCCCTGGGGCGCCGGCGGTGGGAGGTGGTGGCTCCGCTTCGGCGGGTGCTCTGCCCGCAGCCTCCTCCGCCTTCCGCGGCCCGCGTGGCCCTCCCCCACGATCGCCGCAAGCGACCACTTTCTTTACGTGTTGGTGCGGTTTTACGAAACCTCAAGTGGTCCGAGATACCAAACTTGCGGGACAAAGCGTGATTTCTAAGTCAGAAATCCGGCGGCCTGGGGGTCCCTGCCGTGCGGAGAATGGGGCGCCAGTGGGCACAACGCGGCCGGCACGGAGCGTCCCGCTGCCCTCCGCCGCCCTCCCGCCCGCCACGCGGGACCAGGGAGCTTGCGGGAGTGGGAGTCGGGGCGGACCGACGCCGTCAGCCGCCCAGGGCCCGCGAACCGAGCCTGGAGGGGAGCCAGCGGCCGCCGGGGCTCGGGGGTCGGAGCAGCACTGAGTGGCGAAAAGCGCCCTCTGCTGGGTCTGGGGCACAGGGCGCGCCTGGCCGCCTTCCCCGCACTCAGGGTTTGGGAGGCGGGTCCTAGCCCGAAGTCCCGAGGCTTCTTCAGGGCAGAAGGGAACGTCCACCAAAGCGGCAGGCACTGACCTCAGTCACGTGTCTCTTTCAATCGGGTCATGTTTTAAAGAACAGGGTCAACCATCAGGATCAGGGTGGTTTAAGAGTCTTGGGCTCCGGTTTCATGGGCCAGACTTAAAAAATTACTGTGACACTTGTTAAAATGTAAGGAAGACTTCTTTTGAGACTACTGCTCATCTAAGATCAGGAGCAAGACGAGGATGTCCACCCTCTCACTTTACTTGACAGGGTGCTGGAAGCCCTAGCAGAGCAATTAGGAAAGAAAAAAAAATAAAAGGCATCCAAATCAGAAAGGAAGAAGGAAATCTCTGTGTTGCAGATAACACGATCATATATTTGGAAAACCCAACAGGTAACCACCAAAAACTATTAGAATAACTGAAGTCAGTAAAAAAAAAAAAAAAAAAAAAAAAAATCAGTTGCATTTCTATACAGAACAACAAACCATCAGAAGGAGAAATTAAGAAAAATAATCCCATATATATAAAAAAGAATAAAATATCTGGGAATAAATTCAACCAAGGAGATGATGGATCTGTACACTGAAAATTAGAAAATATTAATCAAAGGAATTAAAGAACACAGAAATAAATGCAAAATTGTTCCGTGCTCATGGATTGATAGAATTAATATTGTTAAAATAGCCACAGAACACAAAGAAAGCTACAGAGTCAATGTAATTTCTATCAAAATTCCAATGGCATATTTCAAAGAAATAGGAAAAAATAACCTTAGGTTATCCGGCTGGCTTAGTTGGTGGAGCGTGTGTGACTCTTGATCTTGGAGCTGTGAGTTCAAGCCCATGTTGGGTGTGGAGATCACTTAAAAATAAAATCTTTAAAAATTAAAAAAAAAAAAAAAGGAAGAAAAAAAATCCTAAAATTTGTATGGAACCACAAAAGACTGTGAATAGTGTTGGGGAGGATGTGGAGAAAAGGGAACCCTTGAACACTGTTGGTAGGAATGTAAATTGGTGCAGCCACTATGGAAAACAGTATGGAGGTTCCTCAAAAATTTAAAAACAGTGCGCCTGGGTGGCTCAGTGGGTTAAGCCGCTGCCTTCAGCTCAGGTCATGATCTCAGGGTCCTGGGATCAAGTTCCAAGTCTGGCTCCCTGCTCAGCAGGGAGCCTGCTTCCCTCTCTCTCTCTCTCCCTCTGCCTGCCTCTCTGCCTACTTATGATCTCTCTCTGTCAAATAAATAAATAAAATCTTAAAAAAAAAAATTTAAAAACAGGGGCACCTGGGTGGCTCAGTCAGCTAAGCGTCTGCCTTCGGCTCTGGTCTTAATCCCGGGGTCCTGGCATTGAGCACCGCATTGGGCTCCCTGCTCAGCAGAGAGCCTGCTTCTCCCTCTCCCTCTGCCGCTCTGCCTGCTTGTACTCTCTCTCTCTCTGTCAAATAAATAAATAAAATCTTTAAAATAAAAAAATTAAAAACAGAACTGCCATAGGATTCAGCAATTCCACTTCTGGGTATTTATCCAAAGAAAAACACTCACTTAAAAAGATTCATGCCCCCATGTTCACTGAAGCATTATTTCCAACAGCCAAGACATGGAGACAACCTCAGCGTCCACTGGACAGATGAACAGATAAAGAAAATGTGGTGTCTACCTACAATGTAATATTATTCAGCTTTATTTAAGAAAAAAAATGAAATCCTGCCATTCAAGATAAAGTGGATAGATCTTGAGGGCATTATGCTAAGTGACATAAGTCAGAGAAAGATAAATACTGTATGATCTCATTTACATGCGGAATCTAGAACAAAAACGAAAGTACAAACAACCCATAGATACAGAGAAGAGACGAGTTTGCCAGGGGCAGGAGGTGAGTGGTGAGAAAAATAAATAAAGGTGGTCAAAAGACCCAAACTTCCAGTTGTAAGAGAAAAAGTTTCTAGGGACGTAATGTACAGCATGTTGACTATAGTTAACATGTGTTAACTATGTGCTGTGTTGTGAATGTATAGAATATATATATATTATGTGTTATATATATAATATTTATTATATAATATATGAGTGATTTTATATATATATATATATATATATATATATATATATATATATATATATAAATTATCTGTTCTATTCTCTCATCCAACCCCAGGTCCCCCTTTCCCTGCCCCTGTCATGTGAAAGTCAAGAACTGTGTTCAGAGCACAGGGGTCAAGGTTACTTCCACTGTCCTAGTACATCAGTGACCCCCTCTTCCAGGAATAAGCTGGAGAGAGAAGGGGCTTGGGTAAATCTAGCTTCTCACAGGTGAAACAGGAGAAATCTAGCTTCTCACAGAGGAACGTTGATGGATGGTGATGTATGCCCTGGGAACAGAGCAGAGAGCGATACACCTCAGCAGGACAGAGGACTTGAGCTCCATATTCTCCATGTTCTCCACAGAAAGACAGCTCCTGGGCACTCAGTCTTTGTGTTTATCTCCTTCTGTAATTTCTCTTCAGAAATTTAGTTTTTATTTATTCATTTATGTCCTCTCGACACCCAGCGTGGGACTTGAACTCACGACCCCGATATCAAGAGTCACATGCTCTTCTAAGCCAGCGAGGAGCTGCTCTCTTCAGAAATATAAAAGGAAAGAATCTGCTTCTCTATTTCAATGGCTGACTTCAAAGTTTCCTTTGACAGTCTCCTCAAGGTCACTGGCCATCCTGTCTCAGTGGGCCTTCTGTGTCGTGCATGATGCCCACCCCCGCCACCCACCCACCAGGGGAGGTAATGTTTACCGAGTCCACTCCTAACTCTAGAAGGAAGCCCTCTTGCTAAGCTACTAGAAAAGAGTAAAGAAAAATAAATGCCAGTAACAACATTCTAATATAAAATGAAAGAAGCCCTAAAGCACACTCATAAATACCAGAGAAAAAGTACAACTAAGATTCACATTTATTAATATTAAAGAAACCACAAAATTTTAAGTTGGTTAATTTGTTCACATATTTCTTCGGTGAGGGTTTTTGGTTAGTCATACCAAAATAGTTCATTTCTCTGTTACAAAAAAAATTATTTGCACCTTAAAAAAACGTGCTCATGCTTTCCTCCTCTCTCTCCTGCTCTCAAAATTCCATTCTTTTTAAAATCCCATCTTTTCTTCATCATACTTGGAATTCCAGGCAGTGTATCTGGCAGTTACACACACATTACTTCCAGATGGCTTCACAGAGGCTTAATCGAAAATAAAAACAAGATCTATAAATTAACTTCCATACTCACGTACAACCCGATTCCAAAACCCGTGAGCAAAAGGTTGACAGGATTCAACAGCCACGTAAAGACCGACAACAGGAATTTGTGTTAACATGTAAAAGACACCTCAGAAAACGGTGATCTCATTTCCCATTCCCCCTAAAACACGATTCTTCAAGCTTTCTTAAACACTCATCAATATTAACATCAGGGATCCAGAAGCGTAATCACCATAGTAACATTCAAAACAATTTCACAGACAGTGTGATTTATTTCAAAAGTCCTCATTACCTAAAATCTACTATCTTCCTATTTCTGAATCGGCCTCTAATACTTTTCCTGCATTCACTCAGAGCACGTGTAACTTCAAAAAGCTGAAAATGGGGATTCATTTCCAGCTGAGGATGGCTGCAGGCTGGTTACCGAGGATGGCCCGGGTCGGTGCTGTTGCTGCTGTGGGTGAAATCCTACAGAGGCCTCCCGGACCCTGAAACCTGAATCAATGCAAGGACCTCTGATTATTTGGTTATTTCTCCTACAGGTCATAAATACCTCCAATACTCACAAAACGGTGCCTCAATGAGGATAAAATGCAGGACACATAAACTACTTCCTGCACCAAATTACCTCCATGGGAAAAAAGCAGCCCATCAAGACTGAGAGGCCCACCCAGGTCTGGCAAGAGCCCAGAGCCAGGATGTCTCCGGGGCATGAGGGGGGCTCAGGGGAAGAACGCTTTGAAAGTCGTTGGTCAAGATGCTGAAATATACGCCTTTATCCCGCACATCAATAATTCCACTTTAGCGATCTAATTTACAGAAAACACTTTATTGTAAAACAGCCCTGGGAGCACCTGGGTGGCTCCATCGGTTAAAGGTCTGACTTCAGCTGGGGTTGTGATCTCGGGGTCCCGGGATCGAGCCCCACCACGGGCTCCCCACTCGGCAGGAAGGCTGCCTATTCCTTTCCCTGTGCCCCTCCGCCTGCCTGTGCGTGTGTGCTCTCTCTCTCTCAAATGAATAAATAAAATCTTTAAAAAATAATAAAATAACATGATTCTGCATACAAAGATATATGCTATACTATTATTTGCAACAAAATTGGATATATTCCAAGTGTCAAATACTATAAAATAGTGTTTAGAACACAGTGTGTATTTCTACATGTGATGTTATGAAGCCATCCCATCAGAAATGACGTTTGAGAAGCCGGGAGGGCTACAAAAGTGTGTATGATACATACTTCTGCGTATATGTATGTGATATACAGATGACACAGATCCCATATATATCACATGATACACAACATCTATCTGGATATGGTACGTATGATATACACATGTACATATTACACATGTCACACAGATCATGGCTACATTAAGCAAACAAAAAAGCAACCAGAATACAGTCTTTAACAGTGACAGTGGGTGATTTCTTTCCCCAACTTCTCTGGTATTTTCTAAACTCACCGTGAGGAACGTGTACTGCGTCTACAATGGAACAGATGACTCTTACAGAATGAAAGTTTAAATGAGTAAGTGACCCCCCGTGCTTTAACCAACCTGATACAGAGAATCCAGAACGCGGAAACCAGACTAGGCTCACAATGGAGAGGAGTAACATCACCGTGATTTTTAAAGCCCAGCAGCAATGCGGGCCAGAAAGGAAAGTCCTCCATGCTTCTAGGGGGTGGGCCGCGGGGCAAGCCTCCTAGGTTTGGATGGGGGGACTGCTGAATGATAAGGCTAAGAGTTGCCCCGGGCCCAGTGGCCAACAGCATCTCGGCCACGTGCACCGTCTGGGCACTCAGGCATCCCTCGCCGTGCCCACAGCTGGCACCTCACTTAAGACCCATGTTGCCACCCACGCCTGGCCTCTCACGGCCCCTCCCAGCTCCAGTATCCCGGGCAGGTGTGACCTAATTGACTTTATTAACCAGTTCATGAGTCACACGGCATCCCTTCTAGCAAGGACAGGGGAGCTCCACTGAGCTAAACTAAAGTTTTTCAAGGCAGAGAAAAGACATAAAAAGAAGAACGGACTTCATTAGCAAGGAACGCACTGTTGAGGCAAGCCTGCCCTCCTGAGAACGGTCTGCTAGTCGGCTTCCTACTTTCTCACCAGAAAGCTCCATGTTGCCTGGTCAAAGGGTACATTCTAGGGGAACGGGAACCGCAGTCAGGTCAGGTAGGAAGTCTTGGTTTACTGGCTTGAAGCCTTAACTGAGTGAAGACACTTTTCTTGTTAGCAATTCCTCCCTCTGGACCAGACTCTCAGCTAAACAGAGTTGTGCTCAAAATCGAAGGCACTGGTGTCAGTCTCAGCTCTGCTGTGTGGGGCTCGCAGCTTCTTCTGATCCTCTGTGTGGCATTCCCAGGTCCTGCTGCTTCTGCTTTATCGCTGTGAAATTCACAGGTTACGACTCAAGGTCTGCATTCCCTAAGTCTGTTCTCTGTTCCTTTTCTCCTTTCATTGTAGTCTTCGGAGATCATGTGCTTGGTGGCTAGTGGTTAGGATCAGACATTTAAAGTTTCAAAGGATACAGGGGCACCTGGGTGGCTTAGTCGGTTAAGCGCCTGCCTTCAGCTCAGGTCACGATCCTGGGGTCCCGGGATCGAGCCCCGCATCAGGTGTCCTGCTCAGCAGGGACTCTGCTTCTCCCTCTCCCTCTGCTCCTCCCCCACTTTCCCTCTCTCACTCTCTCTCAAATAAAAATCTAAAAAAAAGAAAGAAATAGAAAAAGGTTTTGAGAGGATACAAAGCAGTAGGAAGATTATTATAATCACTATAAGCAGGATAATCCCCAGTATCTGGAGTTCACTTTGAAGCCTTGGTGCCCAAGACCCAAACCAATCAAGTCAAATTGATCAAAGACAGACCTCTCCAAGGAAGGGGTCATCCTTTAGGCCAAGTGGCTTGCTCAGTGATCTTAGGTAAGTGAGTTTTAGTTTCCCCAGAAGTGTCAATCCAGGTACAGCAAATGGTGTTGGCCACAGCACAAATACCTCCTTGCTCAGCTCAAAGGTAATCAAAAGGGGTCCTATTATCAAGAACTACTCTGGCAGAGACTCTGCGGATCTGCCCTGAGCAGCTACTGCTTCAGCAGCAGCTTCTGTAATCATTATAAGAATTCAGAAATTAGCCCCATTTTTTTTTTTAGAGACAGAAAGTGTGGTTGTCTGTGTGCATGAACCCAGGGTTTGGTGGGGGGCGGAGGGAGAGAATCCCAAGCAGGCTCCACGCTCAGCACAGAGCCGGACACAGGGCTCAATCTCACAACGCAGAGATCATGACCTGAGCTGAAATCAAAAATCGGATGCTTAACTGACCGAGCCGCCCAGGCGCCCCGAAAATTAGCCTCATCAACATTTATTCCTAACTAGGGAAATAGGGAATCTGTCAAAAGGAGTGAATCCCCACACTGGTAGGTCCCTTTTAATTCAACAAGGTACATTTAGCCTTGGCAATGGCCTGCAACATAGAACGAGTGTGTTGTCTTTCCAAGCTAAGACCAGAGTAAAGGAAAGGAAAAGAAGGAGAAGGAGAAGGATTTTATGTACATAGTATAAAGTCTTGATTTGGTCCTGGGTGGAAGCAGCTGACAGCAAGTCCATGATTTCTTTTCCTCCTCAATTTAATTTCTAGGTCTTCACAGTCTGCATAGGACCAGGTGTCACGGACAGCCCTTCTCCTGCTTTGTGATGTGTACCCAGACTTAACACCTTCTAGATTTGCAGCAGTGTCCGTGGTCAGGAGCACCAGGAAACGTCTCTTTTGATGGGCCCTGAATGGCTGTCTTCCTCTGATAACACTTCCAGGATACCTAGTCACCAGGCTCTATGCTGTGACCACCAGGATTCTTCGAACTGGGATCTGGGAAGTGTCTTCAACCTCATGACAATCAGAAGAAGGTTGTTTCGGGGCACCTGGGTGGCTCAATGGGTTAATCCTCTGCCTTCGGCTCAGGTCATGATCTCAGGGTCCTGGGATGGAGCCCCATATCGGGCTCTCTGCTCAGCGGGGAGTCTGCTCCCCACCCCCTGCCTGCCTTTCTGCCTACTTGTGATCTCTGTCAAATAAATAAATAAAATCTTTATTTAAAAAAAAAGAAGAAGGTTGTTTCATTCTCTGCCGCTAGAATTCTAAAAATTTTGCAAGGTTATTGTTAAGGCTCATATGGTCTGTCTAGTGACATGGTGCTTGATCATGGGAAATCATGAAGGGAGACCCCAAGTGGGAAACACACTCTTTAACAGGTTCTTTGCTACTATGGGGGCATCAGCCTTGCAGTAGGGAAAGGCTTCAGCCCATCGGGAAAGTAGGCTACAATCACAGGAACATACTGAGAACCGGTACTAACCGCCATTGAATGAATTCCAGATGTAGGTGATCGAAGGGTCTAGGGAGAGGGAGGTCTGAGGCCTCTGGGCATAAAAACAGTTTTGTTTTGTTTTGTCTCGGGATTATGCACCTGACACGTCAGGCGTTGCTGGTAGACTGTTTCAGCGATCTTACAAACGTCTCTCTGCCCATGTCTGTTCGTAACTTGAGTCATCTTAAGTGTACCGTGGTGCGTGAAAGAAGGCAAAACCTGAAAAATGGGGTTTGCCAGGGAGAACCAGGTGGCTTTCCTGGGATTCCTATAACCCCGGCAGTTCAGGACTTTTTCACCCACCTGCGTTCTTTTAAGTCAGGGGCAGACTGTGTCCACGGTGGGAGGACATCCATATGGCAAAGGCCTGGCAACGAGCAGCCTTTTTTTTTTCTCAGAAGAATGGACTTAATCCACTTGCCACAATTTTACAATTCAACAAAAAGAAGGCTTGGTATTACCCCTTATCTGACAATGCTTCTCATGTAATTTGATATACCAAATAAGCCTAATGAGTTGAACAAATCTTTTGGAATGTTCAAGGTCAAAAAGGGTTAACAGACCAAAAGTGCAGGAAAAACAAAAACAAAAAAACCCACTTTGTCTTTTTAATAGAGAAACCCAAATTACAATTTTCACCAGCTTACTTTTGATATTAAAACTTATTTTTAATTCTATTCATTTTAATCTTAGCCAGCTCGACCACACATTAAAATTCCTTTTCAAGAATTCTTTTCCACAAACCTTCTACAACTTTATTATTCCTTTTTAAAGATTTGATTTATTTACTTGAGAGAGAGAGAGAGTATGAGCAGGGGGGAGGCAGTGGGAGAGGGAGAAGCAGACACCCCACTGAGCAGGGAGCCCAAGGTGAGGCTCGATGCCAGGACCCTGGGATCATGATCTGAGCCGAAGGCAGATGCTTAACTGACTGAGCCACCCAGGTGCCCGAAGTCAGGAATTTTCTGATGGGCACCAATGAGATGGCCACCGGGGCCTTCTCCATCCCCCAAAGGAAGATGGCGTAATCTGCATGGTAAGACGCCCCCCCTCTCCTTCCCTAAGGGAAGGTGATCCTGCCTGGAACAATCCTTTTCTTTTGCTGACAACCTTCTTGCCCACCCTTATTTCTAGAAAAACCTCGTACAACTCCTCAAAGCTCCCCGCTGCTGGCTGGCTGGTTTGCTGCCAGATTCAGGAACTGCTAACTAGAGCCAGTTATATCTTCAAATTTATTTGAATTTTGTGTTTTAACAGCTCCCAACAATGATGTATAGATTAACCAAGAAAACTGTGAGAACTTAGGCAGAGTCAGTCATTCTCCCGAGCTATTATTTTTTTCTTAGAAGGGGGCACCTGGATGGCTCAGCCAGTTGGGTATCTAACTCCTGATCTTGGCTCCGGTCTTGATCTCAGTGAGCTCAAACCCCACACAGGGCTCCACACTGGGTGTGCAGTCTACATATATACGTACGTGTGTGTGTGTGCGTGTGTGTGCGTGTGTGTGCGTGTGTGTGCGTGTGTGTGTGCATGTGTGTGCATGTGTGTGCGCGTGCATGCGTGTGCGTGTGTGTGGAGCATATATATAAATTGTAAGAGATAGGAAATACTTATTTGCTAGTAAACTCAAGTAGAATAAAAGTTTTACATTTAATATTGATAACTCTAAAGATGTTGTAAGGCCTCTTTAGCCAGAGCAGCCCCACCTCGGTCCAACAGCCATTTTGTTGTTTATGCAGTAGAACTTAAACTGACCCTGCCGCCCCCCAGGGGAACTTGCTTAAAAGCAAGTCCAGGAAACCAGTCCCAGGTAACAAAGCCCAAATACAAGGGTGGGTCAGGCCAGGTGGAGACATCCAACCAGTGGGGGCGCATACTGTCTCCCTAGCTACCAAGGAGTGTGGGCCCCGCCCTTTGGGCGCCTTTTGGGCCCCAATTCTGGCCAAGGTGATAGGCTGGTTCAAATATCTACTAGGGTGAATTGTAATTCAATTGGTCACTTATGTGTGACCTAGCATGACTGTGCAGCTCTCTCTGTGTGTTACAATCTCATTGGCCACTTGTGTGTGGCCAGGCCCAGCCACATGGCCTTTGCCTTTAAAGGCTGGTCTGTGGGGCAGGGAGGGGTCGCCCTCTCTGTAAGAAGCGGCCCCGACTGGTCTGTTTGACGGTCGGTTTGATTCTTGATGCTTGGCACGAAATAAAGCTTTGCTTGACCTTCGCTTTGTATCAGTCTCGTTCCTTTGACCATGGACCCATTATTGGGGGACCCAACAATGTGTCTATTTTAATTAAACCAACAAACTTTTTTCTAAGATTTTATATATTTACTTGAAAGAGAGTGAGGGAGAGAGAGCACGCGCACAAGCTGGGGAAGGGAGAAAGGGAGAGGGAGAAGCGGACTCCCTGCTCCACGCCAGATTCAATCCAGGACTCCGGGATCAAGACCTGAGAAGGCAGATGCTTAACCGACTGAGCCACCCAGACGCCCTAAATCAACGAACTTAAATTAGCTTTAACACAAAACATTTCCTCAGATCTCATGAAGCTGGAAAACATTTGGGTTAATTTCTATCTTTTCCAGAGTTCTAGAATGTCCAAGCCTTACAAATGCTTGTCTTCCGGGGCGCCTGGGTGGCTCAGTGGGTTAAGCCTCTGCCTTTGGCTCAGGTCATGATCCCAGAGTCCTGGGATCAAGCCCCGCATCAGGCTCTCTGCTCAGCAGGGAGCCTGCTTCCCCCACTCTCTCTGCCTGTCTCTCTGCCTATAAATAAATAAAATCTTAAAAAAGAAATTAGAAAAAAAAAATTAAAAAAAAAAAAACCCACAAATGCTTGTCTTCCAACCAACTAAACAGAGCTCTTTCACGAATTACTTTTAGCAATACCATCCAGAGTGAGAAAAATGCCTCACACTTCTAACAAACACATAAACACACAGATGTGAAAACCTTATAGTTACTCGTGTTGCTGGAGAAGATTTTGAAGACTTACATTTGTCTCTGGAATGAAGGAGACTTGCAGGCAGGCGGCTGGGCACAAATGCCCTTAACAGTAGTTCATATTTTTAAAAGCCTCTTTTCCTTTTTTCCCTTAGTCTCAGATACTGGATCGTGAGCTGTATTTAAACTTCAAAGACATGATAAGATGCACAACTAAGGGACACGTTTTGTTTCCTAAGGCCAATCAAGCCTTTGCGGACAGATAAGGGAAGTTGGGGGTTTGGTAAAGGAACAGGTGAGTTGTGAATTGCCTCTAGAGCTGACTTCTGTTTTGCAAAAGATCTGTCAGCTAAGGACAGTAGTTCTACATTCTTCAAAAAATTTAGATTCTGGGTTGATCCACCCGTCCAAAGGTATTACCCTCAATTTGCTTCTTTCCCTCCTGGTATATGGTTCAAATTTTAAATGTTTCTCTTTTTTTTTTTTTTTAAAGATTTTATTTATTTATTTTATCTTAGAGCGAGAATGCATGAGCAGGGGCGGGGAGGTGGGCCACTGTGGAGACACAGAGGGAAAGAGAATCTCAAGTAGACTCTGAGCTCAGCACAGAGCCCGTAGAGGGCCTCCATTCCGGGACCCAGGGATCGTGACCTGAGCCAAAATTAACAGTCAGACACTCAACCAACTGAGCCACCCAGGCACCCCCGATTTTAAATATTTTTGGCAATACTGAATAACCTCCCCTTGGGCATAAGACAGGTCCTCAACGAGGGTGCAAAGGATATTAACGTCCTCAAGGCTGGTGTCACTCCCGAAGACAGCCAGAAGAACAAGCCAGAAGAATGAACCAATAACCTGTGAGTTCCAGGCAGGCAGAAAGCCAAGCCCAGTTATGCAAAATGAGACAAGCAAAAGCAACAGCTCCCTCTGGGAAAGAAAGAATCCATAAGTAATGCATTTGGATTTGGAAAGGAAGGGACAACATGGACTTCTATTTTTCTCTCTCAACTGGGTACTACAGCCAGAGAATTGCAAGAGTTGATTCTGGTAAGAATGTTTACCTTTTGCTGGTTTCCACCAGTTTTCCCAGGAGCCACTCTGCAATGGTGACAACAAAAATCATGGCTAATATTTACTGAGCATTTTCTGTGTTGGTTGTAGAGGCTGTTCTTAGGCAACAGGCTTGAGCTATGGAAGCTTGGGCAAGACAAAATGGCCCACAGTGACCAGAGAGCTGAGCGCAAACAGGCTCATTAATCCACAGGCCCTACCTAATCAGTGGGCTACTTACAACCAGGGAGAGTTCTAATATTACCAAAAATGGGAAAATTCCCCAAGTCTCCATAAGCCCCTCACTCTGCCCTATAACTATAGCCCCTCACCACCGCCTCCTAACAGACAGTCTCTCTTCTCTGTGCTGCCCACTGCTCCCCAGCAGTGTAGTCAATAAACCACCTCCTTTCCTCTGCCCTGGGTGAATTCTTTCTTCGCCCATGCTTCCCGCCCCCACCGAATCGGGACACCTCACATTTCTCTGGCAATGCGGCAACTTTATCTAAATTAATCCTCAAAATAACTACGATGACTGTTTTGTTGAGTACTGCCGTATTTCTACTTTGTAGAGAGGGTACTAGGCTGAGAGGTTAAATAACTCAACCAAGTTAGGAAAAGGATCTGCTAGGATTGGGGCCCATGTCCCGGGTGCTGGATCTAGGCAGTCTGGACTGGTATCCCATGCTGTCCTCAAGGCTGCTCAAGCGAGAAGGTGAAGAAAGAAAGTCAGGCCAGGGTTAGAAAGGACAGTCAAGAATTTGACATGAGGTGACTTTCGGAACTGGGTTATAGATTTTATGAAAAGAGTTGCTTAAGGGTCGCCTGGGTGGCTCAGTGGTTAAGTGTCTGCCTTCAGCTCATGTTATGATCCCAAGGTTTTGGGATCGAGCCCCGCATTGGGCTCCCTGCTCAGTGGGAAGCCTGCTTCTTCCCCTCCCACCCCCCTGCTTGTGTTCCCTCTCTCGCTGCGTCTCTCTCTGTCAAATAAATAAATAAAATCTTAAAAAAAAAAAAAAGAGTTGCTTAAAAATCTCAGTTTGAAGTCTTCCAAATGATTTTATTTCTATAATTTGGGAGGTGGGCATTATGCTCCAAGTGTCACGTTGCATTTGGCCGATGAAATCAGGTAAGAGCATTATTTTCTACCTTGTGATTCAGAATCCAGGCACCCTGATGCACTAATATTTTGCAAACTTTAAATCACATTTTAAAAATAAATTTTATAAAAAGTATTTAACGTTTTCCTCAAGTTGATTTTGCATAACTTAAACATTTCCCCTCACTTTTCTTTTTTTTTTTTTTTTAAGATTTATTTATTTGACAGACAAAGATCACAAGTAGGCAGAGAGGCAGGCAGAGAGAGAGGAGGAAGCAGGCTCCCTGCTGAGCAGAGAGCCCAATGTGGGGCTCAATCCCAGGACCCTGACATCATGACCTGAGCCACAGGCAGAGGCTTAACCCACTGAGCCACCCAGGCGCCCCTCCCCTCACCTTTCTATCAGAGATAGGAAAAAATCAACCTGGAACTCGAGACCTGCTCACCTTCATTTCCTAATTCCTTCATGATCTGAGAACATCTCCCTGTCTTTTGCTGGGGCCCCTGCATCAGCATTTTATAACCCAACGGGAAGTGGGAGAGCCGCCTGGGCGAAATAAATCAGATCGTGGAGGGAAGAAAAATAAAAGCCATTTTCTAACTTCAAAGAGCAGAACACAAACCACTCTTTCTCCCAAGAGTTAAAGCAGCAAAACGTAAAAACATCTCAACACAAGAAAATGTGGCCCTGGCCTCGAGGCAATGCATTACAGCGGCAAAGCTGGCCCTTCACCTACCATGTCACTGAACCAGCTGGTACACAGGATCACCGACTTTCAGGCTGCCAATTTTCTCCACTGAATAATAGACCCCAAAAAGTGGGGACGAATTGTATATCGCCTTCTCGGAAGGATCACACAGGCGGTAGCTGAAAGAAGCAAAAATTCATCATCAGGTACAAAAAGGAAGTCAGAATCTAAGTGCTCTCGAGAGAATTCAAGGGGCGCCTGGGTGGCTCAGTGGGTTAAGCCTCTGCCTTCAGCTCAGGTCATGATCTCAGGGTCCTGGGATCAAGCCCTGCATCGGGCTTTCTGCTCAGTGGGGAGCCTGCTCCCTACTCCCCCATCTCTGTGTCAAATAAATAAATGAATAAAATCTTTAAAATTTTTCAAAAAAAGGGGATTCAAGTTTTCATTCCCAGATGACCTATACATAAGTAGCAAGCCTCTTCCGCAACGTGGACAGAGAAGTCTGTGGACCAGGAGCCTGTTTCCCTAGAAGCATCCTGAGGGCCTATACAATTTTTCCATGGTTTTAGTTTGTAAAAACTTTAAGTGTTATTCAAAATAAGTGGTATGTTTAAAAAAAATAGTAAGTGGTATGTTCTCATGTGCATCTCGGACTTCACAACTCCCGGAAACAAATGCCCACACAGTCTCGAAATGGAACTGCCTGCACTCGCCAAGTTCTTTTTTCTTTAATCAGTTAATTGATTTATTTGGGGGCAGGAGAGAAGCAGGCTCCCTGCTGAGTGCAGAGCCCAATGCGGGACTTGATCCCAGGACCCTGAGATGGCGACCCGAGCTGAAATAGAGTCAGATGCTTAACTCACTGAGCCACTCAGGCGCCCTCCAAACCTTCTGTTCAATGATTGTAAATAATACGCTTCCCCCCACCCCAGGTTTATCAGCCCAAAGCTGAGGCTCTTTGGTGAACAAAAATAAAGATACAGATGCAACAGGCATGAAGCAGGACGACTGACGAAGTTAATCTTTTTTTAAAAGCCCTGTCTAAACAGAAAAAAATTAACTTCACCTCAGCTCAAAAATCAAAAAACAAAACACAATTGCATATCCGAAGGCTTCAAGAAATAACCTCGGGGCGCCTGGGTGGCTCAGTGGGTTAAAGCCTCTGCCTTCGGCTCAGGTCATGATCTTAGGGTCCTGGGATCGAGCCCCGCATCAGGCTCTGCTCAGCAAGCAGCCTGCTCTCCTTCCTCTCTCTCTCTGCCTGCCTCTCTGCCTACTTGTGATCTTTCTCTGTCGAATAAACAAGTAAAATCTTAAAAAAAAAAAAAAAAAAAAGAAAAGAAAAAGAAAGAAAGAAAGAAATAACCTCTTCTCTAACTCAAAACCACTGGAGACCAATAACAATAGAATTATCTCCCAAAAATGTTGACTTCGTGTTAAAAACACATTCTCTATTGATAATTAAAGTCAGCTAATAAGAAAACACAACACCCGGGCCCAAAAGGTGGTCCCAGATAAACTCTGACAACTCGTTCCATTTCTGCTTTTCTCATATTTCATTATACAACTTCAATTAGCCTCATAATCCTTGATGTTGCATCTAATAAAGAGATCCGAGGTACAATAAAAATAACTACAGCATTTGGGGTCTTCATTTGGACATGCCCACGTGACGTATTGAAAATTGACATGAGAGATCTGAAAATTTCCAAACACAGCATTAGACAATGAAAAATCTGTCAAAAGCACTCGAAGATCCATCCACAAAAAAAGAGGAAGCAATTAACCCACACACATGCCAACCAGAAGGCAGAGGGAAAGGTGCTCGGGAGGGGCACCTACCCCCACAGGTAGCTCTGGGATGGGGATAATATTAAAAACACAGTGGACACACGGCTGTTTACCTCTTCAGGGTTTCCAGTGGCTCCTTCCTGTCTATCACTCCAGTATCTGGGTCTACAGTGGTCAAAATGCACCTGTTATTCAAGAACCAACGATTAGGCGGTGGTTAGGAACCATCGAACGGGCCACCTCCCCCCACCCCCCAAAAGGCTGACTCTCACAGAATCCTTACCTGGGGCAAGACAAAACCTTTTTCATTTCTACGTTGCCAATCAGGAGTTCATCCCAAGTATCCTAGGAGGAAAGAAGTTACCTTTTGAATCAAGGCTTCATTCATCTCTAAAGCAGTTTACTCTTCAGCTAGTCCTAACTATGAAGCTAGCAGAGGAAAGCAGAGACAGTCACCCAGAAGCATCTCCCAAAGGGACCAAAGGGAGACGGCACATGGGCGAGGCCAGGATCCAGCCACTCTTGACGCAGTGTCTCCAAAACCCATGTCCCGTCAGCACATCAAGAACAGACTTCCTCTGCGGGGCCGTTTGTCGTGAGAATCATACATTACCTACGAGGCCAATTTACTGACATATAATGAGAAACGCACAGCTTGCAAGACAAGCCCACTTTGTCCTTAGAGCTAAGTTACAGTGGAAGCCAAGTTCAAATCTGATAGTTCTTTGTTGAATGTCTTCACCCACGGGAAGTCAGGTATGAGATAGACACATTCAACAATCACTCCCAGCTCCACAGAGAGGCAGCCTGGGGCAGGGGGCGGGGGGAGTGACCTCGCGTGCCAGAGCCACTGAACCTGATCTCAACTCAAGTGAGGTTTGGAGGCCGAGGGTCTAAGGGGTTTGAGGAGTAGTCAGTCCCCAAGAGAGGAAATGAGACATCTACTCCTCTCACGTGGTCCTGGACTCCCCCCTCCCACCACCACTTCGGGGACAGGAGAGGGAGGCAGGATTGCGGGGGGAAGGAGGGGAGACACTAACACATCATGTTTTCCCTTCCACCTCGATGACCAGCCCCACTTCTCTTCCAGGGGTGCCCGAACCCCCAGGGCCTACAGCAGTGACTTAACAAACACAGGAAAGGTACTCCCGTTCCTAACCGCTCCGGAGCAGGCGCATAGCCACAGTAAAGGTCTCTGTGGATGCCCGGGGTTCCCAGCCACAACTTAGGAAAACACTGCTCTTTCCAAACAGCCAGTTGACAGACAAACCACGTTGTCCTTGCAAAAGGCAAGGACCCCCATGTAACAAGTGGGATTTCTGTATCCCAGCCAGAACTTATTACAAGCTTTGTGCAAACGGGAAAAATATGCAAGATAACCAGAGCAGGTGGCTCAGCTGGCGGAATGTAACTGGGATCCCGCAAGGGGAAGCGACAGGTCGGCCACCTGCAGCCCTGGCCTGGGGCCGGCAGAAAAGGCTGATGCATTTTGCCACACGAGGGCGCCGCGGCCACAGGAATGTGAGCCCATCAGCGCCCCGCAGCTCTCCAACTCCCTTCCTTTCATGGTCTTTGCACAAATGATGATGAATTTCATACTTCAAAGCCACAGATCTGTGAAAATGCTGCCTTGTGACTGTGGCATGAAGCAGGAAAGTCTGAAAAGTTCAATTAGGTGTCCTTGCTTAACAACACAGATTTATTCTGTACACAAGTTTGTTTCTCTAAACTGGGTACTGCCGTTCTCTGGGCAGCACCCAGTTTAGAGAAACAAATTGTCTGCATACATAGAAATTGTCTCAAGCTCCCCAAATGGCAGCTCTAATGACCTCCGAAAATATTAATCACTTTATATAATAATGTCACTCACCCTAATCTGATCACAGTTGGCATTTTGGTGCAGAGTGTTATTGGCAGCAAAAAAAAACCCCAAAAAACAATAAAAAACCACTACATGAATATGAATTACGTTTAAATGTAATTATTAATTCAGTTATTAGAGGAAAATAATAAAATACCTTAAGTTATTAAAAGTTCATTTGAATTAAGAAAGCACGAAATTAAATTTTCCATTAGGTTTATTAGACACACGTGAAGTTCCAGAGCCTTCCCTAAACCCAGGAAACAGCTGGAAGAGCTGACTGCTCCCCCTGCTGGCCAGCAGCCGCTCTGCAGTCGGGCAAAATCCAGGCCCCCAAGACCTACATTTACCGTGATGGGATAAAACCACGCAGTTTTTGAGGAGCAGGAAGAAAGCAAAGCAACAAGAAAGGAGACAGCATTGTACACAATGGGCTCAACTCTACGGAATCAGCCTGAGAAATTACGATGAATTTACCATTTATATTGGCAAACATTACATTAAGATTACGTTGTTTCACGTGACAAGGAGCATCCAAAGACAGACATGAATTAAGAATCTGGGGCAATTATTGTGGAGCACACAGCACAGTGCAGACGAGGGTGTCTGCTTCGTTGAGACAGTCACTAGAGTCCAGAGAGGCAACAAATTAAATGGATGACAGGAGATTCCCCCCCACCACCGTCCCCTTCTCTCTCGCTCTCTGTACACACACACACACACACACACACACCCCAAGCCATGTTGGGATAAACTGAGGGGATGAACAGGTAAATAAACAAGTTTGTTGCTTAGCAATCCTTTGCTATTTTTCTGGTTTGGTATCAATGATGCCATAAGATTCCAGTGAGTGTAAGAAGCCATGAACTAGGGCTGGTAACTACATGTGGCCCATACAGAGAGGGATTACTGTTCAAGCAGCAGAAAGGAGGATGTGAGTCTTTATTTATCGACTGAATAAGGTTCAAGATGTTGCTAAGTGAAGAAAGCACATCTATATATACACGATATGTAGGATAAGGCTGTTCATGTAAAAAAAAATAAAAAACCAACGACCAGTACATGCAACTCTGTGTATATATTTAGAGCAATATATTTGGAAGGCTCCTCAAGTTTAAACAGTATTTTTATAATAATTTTATTTTTTGGTTTTCCTTTTTTGTGTATCTTTTTTTTTTTAATCAGAAGCATATCATCTCGGTGTACCTGGGTAGCTTGGTTGGTTGGGCAGCTACCTTCGGCTCGGGTTATGGTCCCGGAGTCTCAGGATGGAGTCCTGCATCGGGCTCCCAGCTCCGTGAGGAATCTCCTTCTCCCTCTGACCTTCTCCCCTCTCATGTTCTCTCTCTCTCTCTCAAATAAATAATAAAATCTTTCAAAAAAAAAAAAAAAGAAGAAGAAGAAGCAGCATATCATGTCAACAACACATTTTTAAGATCATCTTGGTCTAGGAAATTTCTCAGATGCTTTCCAACAGCAAACACATGGTGTGTTTCCAACACCAATTCTGCAATTCCCTGACACCAGGAGAGGTCCTGTGATTTAACCCGGTTCTGACGCTAACCAGCCAGAGTTCCTGAACACAGACCCCTTGGGTTAAGGGCTTGCACCCACAGACTTTCCCTCGCTCCTCACTTCAGATGCCAAGGGTACAGCCCTCCCACACTTCTGGTAGACCAGCTATAAATCGAGGATTCCCAGGACCCCTCCGCAGGCTGGGTATTTTGCCAGGAGAGCTCACAGAACTCAGGAAATTACTATTACCAGTTCATTATAAAGGATACAACTCAGGGGCAGTCAGGTGGAAGAGATGCAGGGGAAAGGTATGGGGGAAGGAGCACAGAGCTGCCAAACCACGGTCCCAGCTCCCCCTCCTCCATGTCTTCACCAACCCGGGAGCTCTCCAAAACCAGATGTTTAAGAGGGGTTTCTTGGGGGGTTTTTTGTTTTGTTTTTTTAAAAGATTTTATTTATTTATTTGACAGAGATCACAAGTAGACATAGAGGCAAGCAGAGAGAGGAAGGGAAGCAGGCTCCCCACTGACCAGAGAGCCCAATGAGGGGCTTGATCCCAGGACCCTGGAATCATGACCTGAGCTGAAGGCAGAGGCATTAACCCACTGAGCCACCCAGGCGCCCCCGTTTAAGGGTTTTTAGTGGAGGTTTTATTACCGGAAGATCACATCACTGTCTACTTGCAACTGAACTCAACCTCCAGCCCCTCTCCCCTCCCTGGAGCCCGGGGAGTGGGGCTAAAAGTTCCAAACTTCCCGTCAAGGCACGGTCTTGCTGGTGACCTACCTCCAACCTGAAACTACTTACCCCACCCCACCCCCAACCACTGGCCTCATCAGCATAACTCAGGCTATGAAAGGAGCCTGTTATTAATAATAAAAGGTGTCCCTATCGCTCCTGTCACTCAGGAAACTCCAAGGGTTTTTGGAGCTGTTTTAAGGGACAAACACCTAATATGTATTTCCCATGACACCACACAGTTCAACTATCTCAGACCAAAAACTTTTTCTGTTTTTAAGATATACATGCAAAATTCCAAAATTTAAATGCGCTCCCTTTCTAGAAACCCGTGGCATTCTTCCCAAGGACACACACATACCCTGTGCTAGGTGTTCCTTTCTCCAGGCTCCCACCAGTGAGGTTACGTCCCTCAACCCTCTGGCTACTGAGCCCTTGGTCCTGTTCATCCTGGGACGCTTGTAGGCAGACACAGTGAATTCATTTCTGTAAGTTCAGCACCCAGAAAACTCTCAATAAACATCTGTTGCAAGCGTGAGTGTTCTAGAACCTTGCTGATACACCGCAATTAAGTTTCCTTAACCGAAGTAAAACTCTACCTGAGGCCAAACTTCCCTCACAGATCAACTAACGCAAGATTCCTTATATTAAGAATTACCAATTTACAGGAGACAGGACTTTGCACTTATCAGACTGAGGAAAGATTATGGGCATCAATGCTGTCCGGGGTCGGAGAGGAAGGGCGCGCTTCTGCTCAACTCATGGGAACACAAATTGGTACAAGGTTTCTGCAAATCCATTTGACAACACGAAAGGCCCTTAAAATTCTGACTTTGCATTTCTTAAGAATAAGTTGAGAAATGTAGATAAAGACTGTTTTACAAAGCTGTTCATTATTTATGTAAGGGAAAATGGAAAACAGCCTACACGCTCAATTATAAGGGAATGGCTAAGTAAGTAAAGGCACAGCTCAAAGGTGGACAAATACGGACCATAAAAACTATGCTAAGGAAGCATCTCTACAGACAGAGCTGTGTGCCATCTACCATTAAGTGAAAATGGGGGAATTCAATACTACCTGTACAACATCACATAAATAATACTGGAAACACAATACAATGTTACCACAGGCTACTTTTTGATGGTAGGATAGGGAAGGAGTTTTATTCCTTCAAGTTTTCCTTCACACAGAAGAAGTGGTACTTTAAAAAAATTACTTTTGGGGCACCTG